TTTATCTGACGTACTTCTCAAACAATTGTGTGGAGGTAGAAGTAATTGAAGTGTTTGGAAAAGAAGTGGAAACAAACAGGTACAGTGTTTCACATTACCACAAAACCACAAGCTTTGGGAAATCCGTAATGAAGATTTTCCTGAGAGCGTATTAATTCCTTCCCCTTTTTGCATGTGTTTCAAAGTAGACTCCTTTATTTGAATTTCCATAATTCCCCAAGGCCACAGCTAAGTCTGTGCAAAATACTGGACAAGAGATGACATGCACCTTAGTCAGATATTAAGATAGCAAGCTAAGAAAAGCAAGTCTAGAGGTACTGCATGATAATTGAAAAACAGCTTCTAGTAAAATAGACAGGTATTTGTATTTTCCCTTTGGGAAGAATTAATTCTTCTCAGTTTCCCAGTTCTCTCCTGCATCTTCAGCGTGGAAGTGTTGTGTCAAGGAGTAACCTGGGCAGGATTTCATTGAGCCCATGGGAATAACATGTAGATTTTACAGAACAAGGAAATAGGGAGGGGAGTTGAGATAGGATCCTCTCACAAGAGGAGCTTCCCAAGCCTTCCAGGAATTGCCAGAGTTGCTGGAATAGGACACACTCATGCAGGCAAGGAGAGGTTCTGTTAGGAATGTTATCTCTGATCAGCCACTTATCATTTCAGGAGGCAAGCTCTGTCAAAGCTGAGATAAATTAAGGGCTCTGGCAGCTTTCATGCACCAGCTAAGCAGCCTGTCCTGTTAAGAAAAACAGCTCCTTTCAGATGATCTATGTAATGTCCATGGCCCACTGACTCTTCCAAAGTAAAGAGTCAGATTTTAAAATGTGTCCTATTTTGGATGTTGTTTGTGGATTTTTAGCTGATCAGTTGATTGTTCAAGAAGCTACACTTGGCTTTGAGGTAGCTCCCCTCTCTGGGTAGTAACACAGCTTTTCTTCCTGGCTAATGCAGCCATGGCAGCCTTTTTTCTCACTTGTGAATGGTATTTATATTTTTATTGTAGTATTTTTATGCCTTTTTTTTATTGTAGTATCAAATTAGTTGCTGTGAATTTTAGAGTATAAAATAGGGGAATTGTCCATCATCTGAACACTTCAGTGATGCCTGTATCTCACACTTGCTTTCATCCCTTGTATAAGTTTGTGGAGTGCAGTGCTTTTCCTTCTGATAGTTGATGGCTTCATGGTGCATGGCTATCAGTAACATTTCTCTTTTTGGACAATGGCTTTGCAGACAACCAGATTGGCTAAATGCATGGCATCTTTTAGAAACAAAACTAATATGTGAAGTAAACTAAATCATTTGTGTAGTGCAAATTCCTAGAAATCCATGCTTAAACTTATAGTGGAGTTTCTGTATCATATTCTCTGATGCAGAGATGTTTTCGGGGCAGAGTGGGGAGATGTGGCCACTTTTACATCTCAAGTATATGGGTGTATAAATTAATAAGAGAAGGTGCTGGGAATGCCCTTTCTACTTTGAGATTTTGAGGCAGGGAATGCTTGTTAAGGTCACAGGACATCTTGGCTTGACCACATCTTTTTGCATTCAGGTTCAGGTTGATTTTCTAGCTTTTAAGGTTTTTTACCACAGTTGCATTGAGTCACTCCCACTTACAGTTTGTGCTGTGACAGGATTTGTTTGATTCTCTGTGTCCCAGTTACACTGGGTCTTTGTGATGAGAAGGGCAGTGATGCTTTGTGTTTTGAAAAACTTACCTGAAGGACCATATATGTTCATGAAATGCACTTAAACAGATGTCAGCTTGATTTTCAGTCCTTCTCTACCTAGCAGTGATTGCTTTCTCCCCACACTAGATATTAGAGTATTGAAACAGCCTTTTTAAAAAAGAATCTACTCTATTTAATTTAATTATGTGGCAATTGTTTGTTTATTTGGGTTTGGTTGTTTTGGTTTTTTGTTTGGGATTTTTTTCCTTCGAAAAGGCTGACAAAAAGCCCCTAAGATGGTTAGAAAACAAAAGGAGTGAAATAATACCAGACAGATAAAAGTTCTTGTTCTTTGGTTTTCAGAATTTTTTTTCTTGTGAACTTTGCAGCTGTGTCAGGGTTTGCATCAGAAGAGAGTAAGTTAAAAACAACTTGTGGAAAGACTTTCCTGTTAAAGTAGCTGAGCCTTGCTGATGACTCCACGTGTATAAAAAAGTTCTGAGTAGTACAAAACCTTTTTCTTTTTAAATCATTATTTTAATATATTCCTTGTTTGTTTTCCCTGACCTTGGTGTTACTATGTTACCAAGAGTCCTATTTTTTTCTACTGTCAACCAAAGTGGCAGAGCAAAATTCAAGGTCATTTCCCCTGTTACTGTGAACTCAGGGTTGGGTAATGTAACATGGGTTGCAAAAATAGATTTGGCCAAGTTGGTATCACCAGAGAGAGAGAATGAAAAAGAGTGAATCCCAGTGAAAAAGGCAACTCAGTTCCACTAAACTTTGCAAACCAAAGCACAAGAGAAGGCTTAGCAGCAGGAAATGGTGGAGACCACAGTATCCCTGGAAATGCAAGGCAGTGTTGCTCCTGAGCAAGCTTATTTGTCAGAATAAGAATCACTGGGGTTCCAGCTAAAGGCATGGCAGCCACTTGCCCACATCATGGAAGGGTTAAATCATGCTAAGGAAGAGAGAAAAACACTTCTGGCTGTTGTCTTCAAGGTTTTATCTCTGAGGAGGGGGATGGGAAATAGATGCCAGTAATTATGTAAAGATCTGTGTAATTTTGTGTGAAATATAAAGGTGGTACTGAGTGAGTAATTGCCCTGGAAAAAAAAAAAACAAACTTGTTAGGAATAAAGTGAGAAACTACAAAGGATGAAGAAAGGAAACAAAACTGTCTTGGAGCTTAAAATGTGTGAGGATAAAGTCAATGTTGCCAAAGCTCATGCTGGGTTAGATTTTGCAAAGGAAAGCAAAGCAAGGAGCTCTATTTTGTAAGCATGTAGGTAAAAGCAAGGTAAGGGAAAATAGAAGTGTGTTCATAATGAAGATGGAGCTGACATAAAATGCAATTTTATGTGTAGTAAATCCAGATAGACATGGGACCAAAGAGTCAGTGTGCAGCAGGATTGGGAACTGAAGACTAATACAATGAAGCAAATAGTCTTTGTCTCAGAAGAGTGGGAGAAGTGAAAAGTAAAACTGTGAGCTTTGTGGTAACAATTTGTGGTTAAATCAAGCTGTCCTGATGTACTTTGACTGTCTCGTTCAGGAAATACTATGGACCACTGGGTAACAGAAGTAAGTCCTGCAGATAAATTAGAAAGGAAACAAAACAAATATAAAACTTTAAAAGGTGATCTGAACAAGTGCATATCAGTTAAACAGTAGACGTAACACCTTTTAAGGAAAAATTAAAACCTGTTAGTTCTGCAAGGGAAGTCCTCTGACCTCATGCAGGTAAGTGCTATAAAATGTGGCATGGGTTCACCAGAGACTGTGCTGGACTGCCTTGACAGCTTTTATTGACAGCTGATACCTCCATGAGGGAAATTGTAGTGCATTTGAACAGTCTGGACTTTAGTAAAGCACAGGAATACTGACACATGGAAATAATTATTGGCACTGGATGAAATGGGGGAGTAGTTCTTGAAGTGTGAGTAGCTAAGATGTTGGCCTAAATTAGAGATGAGAGGTTTTATTAAAGGAGGAAATAAAGGGGTTGGGTGTCACCTACAGACTGTGCAGGTCTGGGGTCTGATCTTTATAATATTGTCACTAAGGTTACCAGCCCAAAAAAAACCACCCCAAGGGAAAAAATCTGCTAATGAAATTCAGGGCTGAATCAACATTTCAAATCCTCATCAGTGCAGAGGAGGACAGGCACATCATTCACTAAGAACTGCAAAATGTTGCCAACTGTAAGATTAAACTTAGCAATGTAATAGTGGAAAGTACCAGGTCAAGCACTAAGAAGATGTTGAGAATTTTGGCTACCAACAAAGTGCTTATCAGTTGAAAGCAAAGGAGAAAGATCGTCTAAAGATCATAAAAGCCACCAGTATTATGTGACATATAAATAGGCAGGTGTGTTCTCAGCATGTTTCAGATGAGAGATTTGTGGCAGGGTTGTGTGTTACCCTGATAAGGCCTCATCTGGAAAACCACGTTCACTTTTAATCACCCAGGTTCTGGAAGGATTAATCCAAACTGGGACAGGTGCAGAGACCTAGGGGATGATCAGTGCACTGAAGAGCTTATCTTCAGTGAGAAGATGGTGTGGCTTATTTAGCAAAGCAAAACAAAAGCATGGAAATATGGGTAAGGGGTCACAGTAGCATGGTATTCAAGCTAAAATATGGCAATTTTAAAAATAAGTGCATGAAAGCAGGATGGACTAAAATTAATTGAGTGCTACTGTGAATGAAACTTCTCAATACTTTTCTACATCTCATTGGTTCACATATCCTTGCAATTTTTGTGGACTTCAGGATTTTTGCTTGCAAATGTCTCTCTGAGATTTGTCCCTGTGATTCATTTCATTACAAATTCTGATTGAAAAGTAAATCAATTCAAGTCTATTAAAATTTTTAAAATTTGGCCTTTTTTATTCCTTTCCTCATCTTTAAGTAGTAACAATATTGTCTTGCTCATTAACTCTGTTGATTTCCCTTGGCTGGTGCCAGTTTGAAGACACAGCAGGGTTGCCCCATAGCATTCCTTCTGTGTCTCATATAATACATCCAGTCCAGGCCTTCCCCACACAGACTCCATTGCATCTCTAGTTTTTGCAGCTAAAATGGCCCTATTTCCTCTCTCAACTAGGACATTTAACATTCTTTTTAGCATCTATTAGCCAAAACCACTAAGATTCCCTTGTGCAGTCTGGCCTCCCAGTAGTGGCGAACAGGATAATGACGTAAGGTATTCTCTCGCTTTATTTACCTCCCTCTGCCTCGTGCCCCTTTTCTCCCAATTGCTCAGTTCTCTCAAAAACGTGAATTTCTGACTGTCGCATTTGTTGTTTATTGCCTGGCTTGTCCTCAGGTTCCAGTGTGAACGGGCTGGAGGAGCCCAGCCTGGCCAAGCGGCTGCGGGGCACTCCGGAGCGCATCGAGCTGGAGAACTACCGGCTGTCCCTGCAGCGCGAGGAGGAGCTGGAGGAGGTCCCCGAGGAGACCCTGGCAGAGCACAACCTGAGCAGCGTGCTGGACAAAGGGACAGAGGAGGATGTGCCCAGCAGGTCAGCACACGTTGCCCAGCAGCTTTTTCTACACCCATCCCAGCTGGCTTTGCCTGCCTTTCCTTTTTCCGTAACTGTTTACCACGTTGCGCTTTCAAAGCTTTTGAAACACACACACTTTGTCTTGTAGTTTCTGTTCTAAACAGCTCACTACCATCAGAAGACACCTATAGCACTTAATACCATGAGACTAATACTAGGAGATTAAGTTCTAAGTTGGAAGAGATTTTTAAATTTAATTTTTCAATTGTATCAAAGGTAAGTGAATCTTTTGAGCAAACAGAACATGCATTCAAATGGAAGAGGGTTCCAAAGTTACCTTCTTTTTTGTATGCATTGTATTACAATTCAAAACCATGTTTGGTTTCAAGATTTAGGCTTCACACACATGTAATCCTGACTGAATGCTGGTGCAGTGCCTGAGCGGTATTAATGGGAAACAATAGCTGTGGCTGCTGAAAAATATGTTGTACCTTCATAGTAATAAAATGAAGGTGTATAAATGTGTTGTGCCTTCATGGTAATAAAATGAAGGTGTACAAATGTGTTGTCCCTTCATGAAGGTGTATAAATGTGTTGTACCTTCACGAATTTCTCTTTATATGCAAAATTCTGTGCAAGCACACCAGGATCCACATCCATGCAGGTAGAGCTAGTGGAAACAATTTTTGCAAGAATCATTGAGAGGAAATCCTTGAGGAAGAATGCTCATGAACTTTACAGTCAGTCAGTCACACACTTTTGCAGAGTCTTGGTCTCTTAATACAATTTCTCATCTACTTGTCTTTGTAGCAATAGCAGCCCTTACCTTTTCATCTCTGAGTCTTTTCAGCAGATTTGAAATAAACTCAGAAAATGCTGTTCGTTTCCTGAAACTTGGATCCTGCAGTTATATTCTGTGTATGAATTGCCTGCAGTTATAGGTCTGTATGAGAAATTGAATAATCTTGGCCTATTTTCTTAACTCATCCTTCCTTTAGTTACCTGCTCAGGTTTAGGAATTATACCAACTATGACAATATAAGCATTGGTGATCACAGGGGTTTTTACTCCTTTATGTTTCTACCTCTAAAACAGAAGTGTGCAGCCATTGACTGTTGTTACTCTTTGTCTTGATTTCAATAAATTAGGACACAATAGACCTGCTCAATAAATGGCATAAAACTTACAAAGGCCAAGAATTAGATTTTTAAAAAAGTGGAGTTTTGGCATTTTGGCATGAAGCTGATGGTCATCTCCAAGAGGTGTTTTGTGAGATTCTGGAGATTGAGAGTGATACACTATTAGGTTAGGAAATTTGATTTTTGTCTCGTAGGGCATTACATTTAGTTCCTTTTTCCTACATTCATCCCTATAATTTGTTATCAGTATGAGTTGTTCTGTCTGTAATAGACTGCATTGTATAAATGTCATGTGAGAACCAGTGTGGGCAACTCAGGTTCTGTCCTAAGGAGAAAAGAGGAAATACATCAAATTCCCTGTCAGTCTGACCTGGAAGAATTTATATTCCATAATCCAAACATGGCAAGCAGTTTACTCAGAAAATGGACAAGTCCTAAGGAGAAAAGAGGAAATACATCAAATTCCCTGTCAGTCTGACCTGGAAGAATTTATATTCCAAATCCAAACATGGCAAGCAGCTTAGTCAGAAAATGGACAAAGCTGTGTGGGCCAATATCAGAGACAGCAGAAGGAGAATTTTCTAGGGGGTGTAGCTATTGGGTAGCTGCTGTAGCTATTGGGTATCCTCTGTCCAGCTGTATCCACTCCATGGATAGACTGCAAAGACAGACTACCAAAAAAAAGGGAGGTGGGGAGAAGTCTGACTACTTTTTCAGCAACAAAAACAAAAAGTTTTGACTCCTGCAACAAGCCAACCAAGGCCCTGATTTAATCATCTTCACTGTCTTGGTGCAGCGCTGCAGGGTTAGGAGCAGGCAGAGGAGATGGGGAACTCTTTGTTCCCTCCATGTCTTGTGAAGGATGGGGTTGGGCTTTCAGGGTTCACTTAGGTGGCAGATACAAATCAGGCAGAGACCTCTGGGCAGCTTCCCATCACGCACACACTGCAGAGAAAGTTTATGGGAAGCAGCATTCAAAGTACAGTTTTTCAGAAGAGAGTTAATCTTATTTAAATTTCAATAAGAAAAAGGATCAATTAAGCTAAGTAAACCCAGACTACACATAGTCTGAGGTGTGGGAAACCTCTTATATGCCTTATTGATTGCCTCTAAGTAACAGTAACCCCCAGTGTGCCATCTCCAGTTTTGATGTCATGTCTGTGGCCTTTTTTAAAGAAGTGTCGTAGGACAGCTTGTGCTGTGTAGGTCTATATGGCAAAGGAAGAGATTCATTGCCACAGTTGAGGTTTCAGTTCCTCTCCTCAGCACTAAATCTGTACATACACCTTTTTCTAACGAGATACTCAACTGCTTATGCAAATTCTATAGAGCAGCCTACCTTGATCTTTGATTCTGCTTTATAGAAAAATTAAATTTCAGCTGTTGAATGAATTCCTACAGCACAGGGTTTCCGTGCTGAAAGGAATGCTCACTATACCAGTCCATCTCTCACTGCTGTCTTTCAGCTTCTCATTTCTCAGCATTCAAAGGTCAAACAAAAGCCAAGTGATAAATAAAAGCCAAAGAAGGTGAAGTGAGCTGTGTGGTGAAGAATTTGTGTCGTCACTCCTCCATGCGATAAGCCGGCTGGTGGAAGAGCAGCAGCTCATCCTGTTCAGCACCCATGGCAACAATTTGAGCAGCAGTAAACCTTATTGACAGCACACCAAGCCCCCAGCATGCAGCACCTGTCAGGTTTATTTCCATGCCAAAAGGTTGGGAAAGTAAATCAGGGAGAAGGGGATCTTCTTTTGCTTCTTTGTTGCTCTGATTTTTGAGGGAGTTATTGTCAAGGCAAGCTCGAGGTGGTTCATTCTGGATACTGAAGGACCTTGCCCACAGGACAGTGTAGAGTACTAGTACTCACACAATATGCTTCCCATACACCATGCCAGCATGTCAATTCACAGCCTTGTGCTGCTGTATTGGCTTATGGTTGGTTTTTATAATTATTTGGAAATAGATTTGAATGTGCCCTTTGTTCTCTGACAGCAGGAACTGGAAGCATTGTGGTTGCAGTGTTTTCAGTTTTAGAGTGCCTCACTAAGGGGTCGTGCCCTGTCACTGTCAGCAGGGCATTCCACAAGGAGGTGCTTTTAGCTCACCCAAGTTAAAAGATGGCCTTGAGAAATAAGGGAGCTCAGGTAGTTCCCATTTTAGCTTTGAAAGATTTCTGTGGAAAATCTTAGGGAAAGACTCCTTCCCCTGTGTTTGTCTCAGTCATCGAAGTGCAAAGTTTGTACTCAGCATAGACATGTTTCCAGTGTTTCACCACCATGCCAAATTTCGCACTGCTCTTGTCTTTGTCTTTATACTCACATTTCCTTTTTGAGGAGACTTGTAGACTCCAAAGAGCTTTTTCATAAAGGTCTTTGGCTGCCTACTGCCAGCAGAGGTCCAGTGTTCTGAGTCTCAGTGGCAGTGTCCTTGATGAGCTCAGCAGGCTCCTTGGCTACTTTCTCAGCCTAGGAGCTGAGTGTCCATGAGTGAAGTCTGTGGAAACCAAGACCTGTTTATGAGTATGGCAGCATGCATGTCATGTGTTCAGTCTGCTGAGCAGTGGTGTTCTTGGATGGGTGTTGTTTCCTTCAAGGAGTTTTCCTGCCGGGCACTCGGAATACAGCGGGAGCACGGGGAGCTGCAGCATTTCCAGGCAATCTCTCTCTCTGATCCTGTCCTCTCTCTTTCTCTCTTTCCCTCTTTCCATGGCTTGTGTGTGTACACGGTGTTAAATGTGGATGTGTGCCTCCCTCTGCTGTAGAGGGAGAGTATAACCCTTGGGAGAGAGAGCTGCAGCAAGGCCTCTGGCTTCAACGTCTCTCAGATGAAGAGGACTCGGGTACACGTAAAGGTACCCGTACACTGTCTCCACTTCCAGGGGAAGGTATTAAAGAGCAGGTCCCACATGAAGAGTTTCTGTGGTTTATTTCATTGTGTTTCCAGCTCCCTCAAAACTGAATCAGTAGCCGTTGTTCATCTCCTGGTTCGAGTGCCATAAATCAGATCTGTCGTTGTCACTGGTTTTAGGAAGGTGATAAAGCTGCCAAGTACCTCAGGATTTCTAGAAAACCTGGACAATTTGCTGCTGTAGTTTGCAGGAACAGTGACTTCCAGGTAATAAGGAGTATCAGATTTGTTCTGTACACTCAGACTACTTGCACCTGTGCATTATCTCAGACACACGGGACACATCAGAAGTACTGCCTTTAGACTGCTTGTGTCAGCAAAGTTGCTTTTTTTGTTGTCCTCTGTGTGTGTGTCTGTCTGTGGGGAGAGTCTGGAAGGAAACTAATCAAGCTGCAGCAATCCCTCAAGATTCTTCAAACAGTTACATAATGGTCATAAAATTAATCAGACATTCAAATCTAACTGGTTGTGTCATTTTCCATGATGCACTCTCTTGCAGTTTATTTTTGGTTTTTTTGTAACACATGGTCCCAATAGCTTGTTAACCCCTTATTCCCTCAATGTGGTTCATTACAGCCAGAATATAAGAGGAAAATCCAAGTGCCTTCCTGCACGTAAGGGGCATATGCAGTTGTCAAACTGCATATTTTACAACTGATGGTTGTAATAACAGTAGCTTAGCTTCCTTTTTTTTTCTGAGAAAAGAAAAATGGAAGAAGCATGATAACTTTTTGCCACCTAACTTTTCTGTGATGAGAATGAGAAGTATTAGTAAGGTGGCTGAAGGGCATACCTGAAGAAGTTCCCCCTGTTGCAGTTGCCAGGGTGCTTCAGACCTGACTCTTAAGGAGTTGGTTTGCAGGTGGCTCCTTACTCCAATAAAGTGAAAACACTCAGCCTGCCCACAGCTTATAAAGTGCTGCTTCTACAGTGGAAATGGAGGAAAGCTACCATCCCAAATCCAAGTGCAATTAATGTTCAGCTTCCTGCAAAGCTTAGCAGGCAGCCCTGAGGAAAGGCTGTGCCAGGTGTTGTTTGAAATTCTCAAGCACTTAGACATTAAAGAAGTGTTAGGTTTGCCTCTAGGCCAAGCAGCAGCCCTTGGTGTCTGGCTTTGCTGCTCATTATTTATTGGAAAAGGTGAGAGGAACAGGACAGGCTCAGGCCTCCATGGAAAAACTAAAGGTGTGTAGTTTACAGTGGTCTAAATCCCAGAGCAATCCACCTGAAAACGTGCAGATCATGTGGGACCTGCTCTTTCCAAGCCTTGCTGAGTGACTCTGTACTTCTCAGCCCCTGCTGGCAAACCTAAACCTTTTAACACAGACCTTTGTGTGGCGATGCAAGTGCTAACTCTACTCATCCTGGGGGCTGCATGCGAACGCTTTGGGACGGAGCGAGGACAGCCAGGCTCCTGTCCCTGCAGGATGGCCAGCGCCTCTGGGAGCCCGTGTGGTTGTGGAATGGATACAAAAACACTCTGGTGAGGCAACAGAGATGTAAAGCTGCAGAATCCTTGGCTACATTGTGAATCCTGCTCTGCATTTGAGTTTGTGCCTCTGAGCCCCTTTCCCTTTTAATGACCATCTGCTGATTCTGTCCTTCCTGCAGTTCCTTCTGCCTGTTTCTTCTGCAGTTTTAATGCCAAATCTCACACATAGTCATTCCTGAAATGGAAATCCCAAACACTTTGTCATGTCTGGGAAAAACATGGCTGGGAGAGAGGAGCTTGTTAAAATGAGCCAGCAGGAAATAATGAGTGCAAGCTCTAAATGCTACTAATGTGTCTTGTTTCCTTCAAACATTAGAGCATCGTATGAAAATCTAACTGCTTTAGAGGTTCTAAACTGCTGCCACAGTGCTTTGCCCTACTCAATGGTAACCCAGTTGTTGTGAAAATTGACTTCCTACTTTAAAAAGTAAGTGGGCATTTTCCTTTCAGGCTGAGATGTTTGCTTTTGAAGACCATTCCTGCAGACACTGTCAGACAGGTCAACACCTGTCCCCTGCAGAACCAGTTATTTTATTATGGATAATGAAGCCTGAGTTACAGAACCAGAGCAGACAGCAGTGGAGATGTATAAATTTACAGAGTCTATAAATTTAATACCTCAGAGTAAGTGCTCCCAGGGCAGGTGTTCTGCAGAAGTTAAACAAGCTCATCAATTGCTTAAGATGCCCATTGTTCTCTCTGACATTCCATAAGTAGCTGAGCTTTGTGTAGGCAGGTAATAGAGGAGTAATGCAATTTCTCTTAAACAGAGTAATTTGTGTGACAGGAATTCCCTTCTGGGGAGCTGTTAAGTCACAACCAAAATGTTGTTATCCTTCAGAAAAGAAATTCTCCCTTTGAACAAGTCAGTACAAAAGAGCCAGGAGTAAACAAAATGGTTTTAAGTACTAAAATTAGCATGTGCCCATGTGTGCATACACACATACACATGTGAAACTCTCAGATCCATCATATTATTTAATTCACAATGTGTGTACCCAGACTAGAAAGAAGTGCCTAGCCCAATAGTAGGAAATGAAAAACCTTTTGTCTTGGTGCATCAATCAGGTGGAGATTATTCCTCACCTTTAACAGCAAGACATCTTTGGCAATAATTATAACGAATAGGCTGAAGGAGCTGGGAATTTCTGCTAAATTGGTATTTACATACCACATTCTGTTGGACACCCAGAGAATTTCTTTCATTTCAGCAAAGCTTCTTGCAATAGACACGATGTCTGATGATGTTTTAATGGCCTCCCTCTGCCCTTGGAATGGCGTTACCCAGCTTGGATGGGAGGTGTGAGGAGCTGGAGTGGTGGATGCGTGCGCACACAGTGCTGAGCTTTTTCTGTCTGTCTTGCCAACTGACCTTAGCCAATAATATTTTCTTTTCTTATTTCCTTTCCTATGATGTGCTACCTTTCCTTTCCACTGTTCTCCCATCTTTTCCTCCCTGCCCTTCATACACCCTGCCCACAACCTGTTGTGCCATGCCCTCCTCCTGCTAGCTGGAAACCTTAGGCTGCAGCAGATTGTAAATCCGGTTGATCCTCTGGAGATCCTGGCAGATGTGCACTGGACACACATCCGTGAGAAAGAGGAGGAGGAAAAAATGGTCTCAGCCTCAAAGTCCTCCACCTCCAGAGGTAATCTCCCCAAGCCCCACACCATCAGTTCCTGGATCCCAGTTGCAGCTGTTTAACTCTGTTGCTTCTGCGCCCTTCAAGACCAGTGACTTCAGCAGGGGCAGCAGTGATTGAAAGGAGCTGCTTTCAAATTGCACTGAAATTACACTTGGTTAAACATTTTGCTTTTCAGGTCAGTGTCTGTTTCAAACTGCTGCTTTCTCAGCGCTGTGACAGTGTGACTTCTGACCTCTTTGTCTGCCTGCTTTGACTCCATAGCATTTTTCCTCACCACACACAATTTGGTAGTGCTGGCAATCTTCTGTAACTGACTAGGGATGCTAATAGTAGTCTCATGCTTTTTGTGGCAGGGAAGACTACATTTTAGGGAAAGCTGAGGGGCTGTGTTGTGTAGCTACTAGAGCAAAGATTGAACAGGGCTGTATCGAGCGTGTTTCTCTGCTGCTTCTTGTCCAACTGGGAAAGCTGAGGGGCTGTGTTGTGTAGCTACTAGAGCAAAGATTGAACAGGGTCAGCGTCTGTATCGAGCGTGTTTCTCTGCTTCTTCTTGTCCAACTATGTAACTGCATCTGGTGTTAGCAGGGAATGATGGGAGTCAAAGGGCTTGCAGATCTGATCAGTGGCAGGTTTTGGACCCCCTGTGTTTAAGATTTGACAATGTATCTACCTCTAATGTGCAAATTGTTAGTTACTCAGAGGAAAGCTTTGGAGGGAGAAAATGTTGATAGTCTAGATCTCGTGTGAGCACCTTCCAGCAGTCCCTGCTGACCTTGTTCTAGACTGTGTTACAGAGTGTCTTAAGGTAAGTATGTCATAAGTGCTTTGTCTGTGGGCTCAAATCAAAGCTCACCATGCAGCTGATGAGCAGTGCTCTTCTCAGTCTGCAGCCATGGTGACACAATTGTAGAGGGAGTATATCTGCTGTGAGACAGGGTGTCTTTCACAGAAAAAATTAAATTAGGTTAAAAATCCAGAGCTCTACCTCATGATGCTTGATTTTCTTCTATTCCAGATAATTATCTTTTTCTTACAGTTTTATATGTTTGGCATAGGGGCTGTTTAAATCCTGGTCAAACTTGATACACAGTTCCAGATGAGTTTGGTTATATTTATATTTGCAGTTTATAGAATGCACCATGATTTTATGGTGTGAAATCAGCTTCTTACGAATAAGAGATGGGTATTTTGTTCTCACTGCAGCCTCAGAAATAGGCTGTGTCCAACTCTCCGTAACTTTCAATATTGCTGGAGTGGTTGATTAATGTCTTAAAAAGCATTAAGTAAAAAATGTTAACAATGTTTCTTAAGTTTACAACAATTAGGGTTACTTGTGTTTCTGTTCAGGGGCCTACGTCACTCTTGTTTCCAGATTTTTGTTTTAATTTGTATTTTATAATACTTACTTTTCTGTGGGGTACTGTTACAGTTGCCAGCAACAGGTGATCTTTCCAAAATTGATTTTGTGATCTTTCCAAATTCCTTTGGGAAGGGAGTCAATATTTCCTTCTGTCCCTTGAAACTGGGCCAACCTAGGGCTATCTTGATGTATAATCAGCTGCTTCTATTGCTGTGTCATATGGCAGAGATGTGTGCAGGTGTTATCAGCAGTTTGGGTATTTCAAAGGCTGTTCCAACATGGGCTTGTGGACACACTGTAAGTTTTTAACCTGAGTTCAAGAGACAGATTGTTCCTGGCTGAGGAGCCAGGATTGTTCCATGATCCGAGGTGTTTGGGGAGCCATTGGCAGCAGCAGGGATCAGGTTTGATGTGGCAGCCTGGGACAGTGTCACAGCTCCCAGAAATCCCTCTGATTCTGCTTTGGGAACTCTTCTTCATCTGCTGGGCAGCTCAGGTTCTGGGACACATGGGACCTCTCTCTCATTGCTCAGCTCTTCCTTCTCTGTTTCCCTCCTCTGCAGAGTTCCAGGGGAGCAGCAGCCTGCTGGTCAGAGGTGGTGTTCTTCTCACTGTGCCACACAGGAATATTTCCTCTAACGTTACAGATCCCAAAGGAACATTAGGCCCCTGACATTTGTGTGTTATCTCAATTCAATTCTCAAGCCTGGAATCGAGTGATTGGAATTTCATAGGTTTTATTCCTGTATTTGCTACTGAAAAATTTCCCTCTGTCACTCTTCTGTTTTAGACGCTGACTGCTGGTCTCATTTTGACTTCTTACAATTTATTGTTTTTTAAATTCAGCATCCGACCTTCCCTCCGTACGCCATGAGGCGGTACAGGCGTGGCTGGAGACGGTCCCTGGAGGTAGTTTGGTGATGTTCTATGTATTCCAACGCACAATAACCCTGCCCCTCTCTTCTCCATGCCTTGAGCAGCTGAGCTGGTCCTTTAACCCTGGAACTTACGGCCCTGTCGCTACTGCATGGGTGGAGGTGGAGGGGGGACGGGGAGCGTGCATGTGCGCCTTGCTCAGACAGCCCCTTCTCGCATGAGCTCCACACTCACCGTAACCTCGGCAGGCAGGCGTGCTTAGATTTGCTTTGTCAGCTGAAGATGGGGCCAGGTTGTGTCCCCCCAACCCTTAGACTAAAAGAACACAGGGCTTTCTTGCATTTCCAAGTGACAGAGAGTGCTTAAAGCAATTGCACTTCTCTGTAGCAACTGCAAACTCTAGTTATGTGGTGAAGAAAACAGCAAAGAAGAATAAGTCAAAGCTAAGATCTTTAGGAATACTGGTGGTTGTATCTCTTCTGACCTGGTGTTCACGTTATTCAGGAAAGCCTCAGGAATGCTGAAGGATGGTAGAGCTCAGCTGTTTGTTTTGTTTCGTGTGGTCCTCTAAGCTCTATTACAAATCAATGAGCCTGAAGATTCTGGGATGACAGTGAGGGAGTACATTGTGTAAAGCTGTGGAAGTGTCTGAATTAGTAGAGCAGTCTGTGCTAGGTAGTTAATCCACAGCTGAGTTGCTTTGGCACATCAGAATAGCCAGCTTGCCTTTCAAACTTTGCTTCTGCTGCTGCTTTGGCAAGTCAGCAGCGTTTACAAGGTGTCTGCACACGATGCAGGCTGCTCACAGCTGCCAGCTAATATGAACCAAGTGCTGATCCCAGTTCCTGGCTGCCATAGTGTGTAACTTCTGAGTTATTGTGTGACAGCTTCTGGCCTCTTGCTCCTCATCCTAACTGCATATATGTATATGCACAGTATATGTATCATATAACCAGCCACCTGCAAGCTTCCTGTGTCCCTCAGAATGGGATCCACCCTTGCACCAAGTTGTTACTTATTGATGCATCTATAATCTTCCATTGAATTTTTTGTACCAAGCTATTTAAAACCTGATTTTCTCCTCTCTCTCCAACATAATCCATGTGTGTCAATCCATTCTTGGTTTCTGAATCTGAAGACCCACACATACATAGTGGATTCAGATATTCTTAACATTAGTTATGTCTTTGCAAATTTTGATTAAGATTACTCACATTTGCTGTTACCATAAAGCCATCCCATGACATTATCATTTCCAAAATAACATGAGCTATTGCTTACCTAAGCAATGATCAGACTGGGACATGGTATGATTTTGTTCAGTAGATTAATAAATGCTCCTGTGGGCACTCCAGCCTTTGCCACATGATTCAGTTTTCCTGTGCTTGACATCAGTAAGGGTCTGGATTTGATAATCCTTTGATGTAAAGGAATAGGCCAGTGCATTATCGCACATGAGTGGAACTGCATTTCACAGTAGCTGACAGAAAATAAACTAATCCATGCTCACTACAGAGCATGGAAGAAAGGAAATTCTCAGGCTGAAGGAAGAAGACAAACCACCTGCTGAAGGCTGTCTTTTGAAATAAGCAAAAATCTGTATTAAAGGAGAGGCTGCAAGACCTCAGTTTTAGGGAGGGTTTGTTTTCAAGATTGTCTTAATTAGCAATGCAATTATGTAAATAGTTCCAAGAGCCACATCATCACTAGTAAATAAAAAGAATCGGGAACTAGAAGTGCTCAATTTAAAAAAAAAAATAATTATGTTTCATGGAAATGTTTAACAAAAAAAAAGGCAGCAAATCATCAATTGCACAAGTTTTTTTTTAGAGTATAATTTAATAATGAGATTTATACTCCACACTTTGGTCTTGTCTCTCCTCTTGTAATTAAAAGCTGTCAAAAGCAGTAGTGTCAGATGTCATAGTTTTCAGAGTTACAAATTCAAGAATCTCTTCTTTGTTTTGACCTAGCAAATCAAATTGTGGTCTGTAAATGGAAAAAAAAGAGTTTTGAATATGTAATTTGAATTACTTAAAAGTATCTCAATTAATGATCTGTAACAGAAAAAAGGTTTTATGTATGTCATTTTAATTACTTTATCTCAATTTGTGCCCTAGTCACTTGTACAGCACATGCATTTTCTTTGACCTTATTACCAAAGACTGCTGTAGCTGCACAGAGTTAAACAGTTTCCAAGTGTAATAATGGTAAATCCCATACCCAGACTCAGACTTACACCCTCAAAGCCAGCTTCAATTTCAAGGTGAACAGTCCTGGTTGTGAGGTTCCATTTTTGACCTAATACACATATGCTATCAAGTGGTGGTAACTGTTCTGTTGTGGTGAAGAAAAAACCAAAATGTTCCTGGAAGAACAGTAACCTTTATTCTGGTTTGATGTCCTCCCGGTCCCCTTCTTGTTTAATTTTTCACAACACCTGTTGTGAAGCTGACAAAAGCCCTGGCAGCTTTCACTGCTAGTGCCTTGGAGACTCCCAAGGGCAGGCATTCCCTGATTCACTGGAGTCTGGAAGTGTCACTTCACCATAGATGTCTCTCCAGGTGACACATTTCAGGATTTCTTGTATTGACAGTAACTGATAAACATCTCCAGTATAAACTCTTGGTACAGTTCAATATAGAACTTTTTCACTGTGTAGTGTTTGTTTTCTTTTCTTTTTTTTTCCCTCAATATTTGAATATATTCTAGCTCCATGTGAGGAGGATGATGTGGAGGATGAGCTGGGCACAGAGCCTGCAGACACAGAAGGGCAGGCAGGTGAAGAGGGAGACACGGGTGCAGAGCTGGACGATGGTAGGGTACCACTGTGCAGCCTTTAAACCTGTTGTGTGAACAGAATGTATTGGCAATGAACACTTTGCATGAGGGTACTTAAACCTGGTCTTATTTTTAGAGGTGTGGGAGTTTGTTTCAAATATCTGAGAGGGAGCCAGGAGTGAGGGACAAAAAGAAAGAGAAGAACCTCAATGTCCTGGATTATGTAATGAATTTCTCATGTCCTCTCATCACATGTCTTGTGTCTGTATTCAATACTAATCCTGATGAATAACAGAAATAGAATTAAATTTGTGAAAGCTCCATAATACTGTCAGAATGCTTCCTGTGCTATTGTAAAATTAACTGCATATGGCAGAAAACATGGAAAAATTTCCTGAGAACTGATAAGAGAACTTCAATTGCTGATTTAACTCTTTGTACTAACAGTCCAATCATTTACTGCTTACATTTACTGCTTAAATGACTAAAATTATCAACAAAAAAATGAGTCAACATTTAAGTGTTCAGGTTATGAAAGTGGCTAGCACCATGTGAATAGAAATTATTATGCCCTGATGGACTTGTATCCAAGTTCTCTTGGTTTTTTCCATCCATGATCAGACATCGCCTCTGATGCAGAAGCGGAGTTTCGCTTACGTCGGGGTGGGGCAGAAGGGGCAGAACTGAAAGTCTCTGAAGATGAAGAAGAAGCAGAAGATGCTTCTCACAGTGTGACAGAAGGTAATCACTTTCTCTTTAGTGCTTGAATGATGTTAGTTGCATTTGAGATAGTCTATACAGTTATGGGATTTAGGAGAAGAGAGTCTCTTGGAACTGAACTGTCTCATGGCTCTCAGTGGCAAGGTCTGTGCTTGCATTAACGTTTTGAGAAGAATGTTCTGAATCCATTAATTACAGCTTTGTAAAATGTGAGAACCCTTCTAACTGCCTTTTTTTTTTTCTTATAAAAGCTGTTATTAAAAAGCTTGTACCATTTTGGACATTTAAAAATTTCTGTTGTGTTCCAGATGTCCAATCTAAAATTTGTAAAAAGCTGAGAAATTTGTTATTACTTGCTGTAACGTTAAAAAAAGGTAGAATAGTAACGGTTTATGTATTTTTGTAACATTTTCCCTTTCCCTAGATCCATGCAAGCCACCCATCCCTATCCAGCCCTCTAGTGACAGTGTTCTTCCTCTGTCTCCAGCTGCTAGTCCCAAAGCAAAACAAGCAGAGGTAAGAAAGGGAGTCTTTCACATTTTCTATTTACCAACTGTAGTTCAATAGAACAGTTTGTTGGATAAACTAATGAGGACTGACAGCAGAGGGCTCTCCTTTTCTATGTCTAATATTTATGTTGATCTTGAAATCTGACTTCATTTAGGCTTAAAATGTAATGTGTATTATCTTTTTTCCTATCTTCAGAGTGTAGTGGCTCTATCACAGCCACACAAGTTCCCATCACAAAGCTCCAGGCAGCACTATACAGGGTATTTTAATTTCAGTGAGCAACTAGCAACAGGTATATGTGATAAATGAAGGGAGCCTTAAGTGAGGTGTTTCCTGTTTAGGCTGGTCTGGCTGTCTTTGATGTGCCAAAAGCAGATTCTGTGCAGCTGCAATTGAAAATTACAGTAGGAACCAAAGCAGTGCCTCTTTGTTCCAGAGCTTGACATAGTTCAGCTCAAGGAAGTGAGGCATGTCAGTGTTGTACTGTCATGTTGTCAGCCCTGGGAGACAGCTTGCAAGTGTACTGCAGTGTGCAAGAGCTGGAAGTACCTGACCCTTAAAATGTTCAATTCAAATTTTCCCTTCCAAATGTTTTGTGGTTTGTTTTTTTTGTTTTTTTAAGGAATTGCTAAAATATTTGTCTTTGAGAACTTTGGCATAGACCAGTTTACTTTTACAGTGGGCTGAGTCTGGTTTGCTGACAGCAATTGCTGACAGCATTTATTTTCTATTAAAATAATTTTTTTTATGGTCATCTAACGATTCTATCAGACACTATTATTATTTAGCAGGCACACTTTAGGACACAAAATTATTATTTTGATACTTGGATGGTTTCCTTATTTCTAGCTTTGTTAAAAGAAAAAAAAAAAGTATCTGTATTCTTGTGTGCTCAGTGACTTTTTCATTTTTCTCTAGGATGTAGAAGATCCCCTGGCTGAAGTGTGCCGTGCAATAAAATCCCCAGAGCCACGCTTTTTTCCTGAGCCTTTCATTCTTGAGGAAAGACCAAAGGATGAAATTCCCAAAGACAGGAAAGTCAAAAGCCCTTTGGTGCCGCCATCTCCAGTGTTGTCCCAGCCGGTTGCATCACCAGAAGCCATTGTAGCCCCATCCCCAGCAGAGTCCCAGCCAGGAGCACCAGCACTGCCCTCATCCGCAGCATCTGCTGAAAAGCCTATCTGCTCCCAGCCTTTGCCTTCTGCTGAAACATCCATTCCATCCCCAGTGGAGCCTCCAGTATGTTTCCAGCCTGTCCCAGCCTTAACATCTACTCCTTTAGCCAAACTGGCCCTTAGGGGCCAGGATGGTGAGGTGGAAAAACTGGGGAGCCCTACTACTGCAGAAGAAGCCCTGAAACGGAGCAGCCTGGTGGAAGAGTTCTGGATGAAGAGTGCCGAAATCCGAAGGAGCTTGGGGCTCACCCCCGTGGACAGGAACAAACGCTCAGAGAGCAACTTCACTGTGTCTGCTCTGGAGACAACTCCTCAGAAGACTTTCAACAGCAGGAATATTTCAGGGGATGAAAGGATCCATCCTGTGAAACCCCAGCCTGCCCCAAGGAGGCAGGGGCTATCCAAGTTAGAAAATGAGCAGATCTCTCTGCTCACTCCGAAGTCTCCATCAGAAAAAGAGCTAAAGATTCCCAGTGAAGTACGGGGAGATGTGTCCAGCAGCTCCGGACTTGGCCTTCAGGAGAGCTCATCTAACATGAGAACTATGGCTAGCCAGAGCTTCAACACTTCCGACTCCACCATGCTAACTCCCCCATCGAGCCCGCCCCCACCACCTCCTCAGAACGAGGAGCCGGCCACGCTGCGCAGGAAGAGGTACCAGGCCCTCTGGCAGAATGAGGTAGAAGCCAGGTCACCTCCAACACCAGCATCAACACCTCCTGTTCCCCGACAGCAGGAGCCAGCCCCTCCTGCCAAGGAGACCCCCCCGGCCAAGAGGGACGACGTGCGGAAGTCGTTCGCGGAGAGCGTGGATGAAATTCCATTTGCTGATGACGTGGAGGACACGTATGATGACAGGACAGAGGACTCCAGCCTTCACGAGAAGTTCTTTACACCTCCTACCAGTAGGCCGAGGCCAGAGAAACCACATGTTTTGCCCTTGGTCAAAGAAAATGGTGGTCCACCCTCCATGGAAGGAGGGATTCACCATAAGAAGAGGGTGTTCCCTGACATTTCTGTGGAGGCCAAGGAGCTTGCTGAAGAAAGAATGAGAGCCAGAGAGAAGTCGGTCAAGAGCCCAGCACTACGTGATGCCATGGCTAAACAGTTGTGTAAGATGAAAGATATGGAGGTGACTGCTGCTGCTGCTGGGGTCACAAGGGCACGAAAGGCATCTTCTATGCCCTTGAAGACCAAAGAGTTGTTTTATGAGTCTCCAAAACATTTGGCCTTGAAATTGGCAGAGGGATCCGCACGAAAACATAATTCTGCTACTGAGAAGTACTCCACTCCTCCTGCTGACATGGCTGGACCTGAAGGGTCTGTCAGCTCTTCAGAAGGCTCCAGTGGGAAGAGTAAGAAAAGAAGTTCCCTCTTCTCCCCTCGTAAGAACAAAAAGGAGAAGAAATCCAAAAACGATAGCAGACTTTCTGACAAATCTAGTGGTGGGACAGAGGAAGCAACAAAGCCTAGGTCGTTATGGAAGTCTGTTTTCTCTGGCTATAAGAAAGACAAGAAGAAAAAGGCTGATGAGAAATCTTGCCCAAGTACTCCCTCAAGTAATGCCACTGTGGATTCTGGCAAGCACAAACCCTCTCCACTGATTACAGCTGCAGGTATAACAGATAAGTGCCTCTGCACTGTGCACTTTTCCGAGGTGTCCTTGAAAATAGTTTTGGTTTGCTTTGTGGTTCAGCTACTGTGCTGAATGCTGCTGCTCCCCAGTGTCAGATGGGCAGAGTGGGGTAAGTGCTAGGGACTGGATTTGTGTGTCTGCATATTGACAGAGTCCACTGAAACAAAATGGAACCCTAACTAAAAGCTTAATTCTCAATATGTACAAGGTACATCTGGTTTATGTCTTAGATTTGAGAAATAAGCATCATTTGCTGGAATTTGTGACATTTCATCCCTACTTTAAATCTGATCTTTATCTTTTCTTTGGCTGATCTCTTTTCTTTCTTTCCGCCTGGCTCCACAGAGGTGAAGACTGCAGAGATGCTGTTATTCCTGTTCTCAGTAATCTGGTGGCTGTCAGCTGATCTCTAAAGGAGGGATTTGGTAACCTCCTTTAAATTCTTCACATGCCCACCAGTTGCAGGCAGAGATGTTTAATGGCAACTTGGGATACAGTAGAGAAGTTACCCATAAATGTGATTAAAAGCAAACATGTTACATTTCTCTGGCATTGTACAAACAGCCAAAATAGAGCCAGCTGCTGTCATTCCAGGTGCTATATCTATCCTAAGAGCATTGATACAACACAAAAAGAGAACCATGATCATTATTTCTAACAGCATTTGGAGAAAGTGATGCTCTCTTAGAACAGCTCAAACTCATGCTGGTCATTTTGTGGAGCAGGGCTTCTTTGATCCCTCGCAGGCAAAACAACTGACACTGACATGAAAGGACGGAGTACTTTTGGTGCTCAGTCAAACAACCTACAGAGTTTACAGAAAGGATTGTTAGCACTTCTCTAATTTCCCCTTTTCATTCCCACCTTGACAGATTTACAGCTCCGTCAACACCTGAGTTTCTCGGAGGACTCCGACCTCTCCAGTGATGATATTCTGGAACGCTCCTCCCAGAAATCCAAACGAGAGGTACGTAGGTGGGAAATGCATTTTAGATGGATCTAGCACCAGTCAGATTACAGACTCAATCACATCAGAAACGTGGGTGATTAATGTTGTTGTTTTTACTCTTTCTCCCATGGAGCAGGTTTTCCTGTAAGTCGGCTGACTGTCCTATGTAAAATAAGATGGTTTCACTTTTTTCCATGATTACAAGCTACACTGCACTGTTACTATAAGAAGGATCCATTGTCTCACTCTCCCATTACTTTACTGGGCACTAAAAGGAAACAGACTGGCCTGTAATCTCCTGGGTATTCCTTTTTCCCCTTTTTAAAAATGGGATTTTGTTTAACCCTTTTTCTAGTCAGTGGGAACTCCACCACACTGCCAGAGTATCTCAAATATGATGGGTAGTGGCTTAGGCCCTTTCTCTGCCAGTTCCCTCAGAACTTGTGCACCTGTAGATGTCTTAGATGTTCTCAAATGTGACTTTCTCCTACATGGGCAGGTCTTCATTCTCCCAACCCCTTCTGTGACTGGGATGCTGTGGCTGGAGCCACTTGCTGGTGAAAATCAAGGCAAAGTTAGAGCACCTCAGCCTTTTCCATATCCTGGATAACCAGGTTTCCAGTTTCCTTCAGGAGAGGGCCCATGTTTTCCCTAGTCTTCCTTTATCACTGACATACCTATAGAAGCTTTCCTTGTTGCCATTGATGTCCCTGGGCAGATTTAATTCTGTCAGGGCCTTAGCTCTCCTAACCTGATCCCTGGCTGCATGGAGAGTTTCTCTGTATTCCTCCCGGGCTACCTGCCCTTGCTTCTACCCTCTGTAGACTTCCTGTTTCTGTTTGAGTTTGTCCAGGAGCCCCTTGTTGATCCACACAGACCTCCCAGCATTTTTGCCTTTGTTGGGATACATTGCTTCTGAGGTTGGAAGAGGCAATCCTTGAATGTTAACCAGTTTTCCTGGGCCCCTCCTCTCTCCAAGGCTTTATGCCATGGTATTACACTAAGCAGATCCATGAAGAAGCCAAAGTCTGCTCTCCTGACATCCAGGATAGGGAGCTTGCTGTGCATCCCCCCCTGCTGGCCTAAGGATCTTAATTGCACACATTTATATGTGGAAAATGTATAGTGAAAGCAAAGTTTCAAAGCTAGTTGTTTTTAAATTATTTGATTCATTTTTAGAATGCCACTATTAATGTAAAAACAAGGGAATAATTTAAGGAACTGTTTGCTCATAGCTGTGAAGAATCCTCCTTTCATTCCTGAGAGCCTCTAAGCTCTGCTAGACAGAATTGGCAAGGTTTGAAGGAATATGTAGAGAATTTATTGACCCCACAGAACACGAAGGCTCTTCTGGTACACCAAAATGAAGATTGTGCTCCCACTGGTCTTCCCTGGTGGTGCCTGGTACCCATGTTAAAAAAGCTCAAGAAGAAAAGAGCCTCTGGGATGGAAGTATCACAGGCACAGTGGCCTGTACCTCCTGTCTCAAACCTGTCATCCCATGTGCACAAATCTGTCTCAGATGCCAAGTTGATCCTTGGCTGAGATGGTAAAGGTGTGGAAGTATTGCAAATTGAAGTGTCATATGAAATGCTTTCTAAGTTTATATGGTAGAATGAACTAGAATAGCTAACGAATTAATTTAAGGCTGGTGCAAGAAATTGATGAACTAAATAGGAATTTTCTGTATTTACTTATCTCTCTTTTAATCTCTTTCCCTAGTTGGTCTAGATCTCATCTGAGAGGAAGATTATTTTGTTTTTATTTTATTCCCTTTTTTCTCTCCCCCTTCCATTCCCCCTTGCATGCCCTCAAGGCGTTTCATGAGAAATTCTGCATTTTCCAAGAGATGCAGAAGAATGAGGTACCTGGGGCCAGCAGAGGACAGATACCCAATACCTGGGGTTCAGATAAGAGTTACAGAGTTTTTGGTCTGCCTTGACGGTCATTTTTTTTCTATGCTGTGGCACTTAGATTTAAAATGGCTTTTACAGGAAGAAAGATCATATCTTTCTTTAAGCACATATCTTTAAGCACAGGAGGGGATGATAAGTGATGGTGGCAGATGCCTGGAATCCTCATACTGAAAATATCTCACAAGCTCTGCCAAGGATCTGGTAGTAGTGTCTCGTTTTCACTCATTTGCTGTTGCTGAAGCTACATTAAGAATTTATTTATCCAGCATCTGCCTATTTTCTTAAGAATAGTTTTGAGAATGTATTTATTTAGAGGATATGGATCTGAAAACTTCATTTACCCCATTGTGGTGCATCCTATCCAAGGATGTAGAATATACATGCAAACACTGGAATGCCTTGCTGTCAAAAGAAATGTAACCAAACTTCGAGTCTGACCAAGCTGGGTTTGTACTGGTTTGGGGTGGGAGTTGTATTTTTTAAGTTATAACCTGCCTGCTACTTTATATGGGTAAGAGCTGACTTACTGTTTGCTATTTAACTTTTATGTGAACCCCTTCTCCAAACTGAAATCCTGTTCGTGCTGCTTTTTTGGTAAAACAGTGAGCTTGCTTCCCAGACAGCCTGCTGTGTTTAGCCTGCTCTTTGTGATCAGCAGTGAATTAATTCAGTGTTGTTTATTGTGGTGTCTCTCAAGAGAAGCATCTTGTAAAGAATTCCTAACGTGAGCGCCCCGTGGGTGTTGTGTTTGTAGGTGTATTGTCACCATGTGTGTGTTTGTCATTGTTCCTGTACAGTTGTGGTGTTGTGCTCAGGTGTTCACCACCACAGGTAGCTTGCTTTTTCCTGGAGCCTGCAAACGTGCTGGTGTTGTTCTCTGGCTTCTCGTTTGTGACTGGTTTTAGTTAATTGAATGTGAGAGTGCAAAATGCTGTCTGTTTGCCCAGAGTGGCACAATGCCTTCTGGACTTCATGACATGAGGGGAAATTTACCTCTCTTCTTAGCAAATAAAGATAAGTGCTTTACTTGCCTTCTGTTTGAGCCCAGGGTAGCATAGAATGTCCTTGGCTAGAGTAAGTAGTGATTTCCCCCTTCTTCTCCTGCTTCTTTCCCCCTCCAATTTTAGCTTCTGAAGATCTTGGGAGGCTCTCCTTTTAGACAAGGAGGTTCCATTCCTGCAGGACACACAACTCACTCTGAGCCTATCTGGTGTTTCTTAGTTCATGAAGCAGTGAATAAGATTTATGATGTTGATTAAATATCAATTACCATTTCTATGAAATAGAGATAATTTAAAGCTGTGGAATAAACACAACTCCTGGGAGAGACTGTAAATCAGAATGTAAATGGAGAGTTGTGTGACAGAGTAATACATGGTTTGCTGAGCCAGTTCAAACCAAATATGTTCCAGAAATAAGCCATTATTCCAAATCTTAAGCCTGAATTTCATACTCATACAGGTAGGCAAAGGCCAAATAATTCCTCTAGAAAAAGGTATTTCCAAGTAGACTGTATCTTCAAGGAGGCTGCCAAAATTAATTGCCTTCAGGAAAGTGCTAGAAACTTGGTTTTATGGCCAGAAGTTCCATTGTGCTCCATTGGTCTGGGTCACGTTCAGCATTTGCACAATTTCGTTTCATGTAAAAACCACTTTGTTTTATTACTGTGCATCTGTTTTCAATGTTGAACTGATTTTGCTTCATTTTGTGCATTTTTTTTATTTTTCTCCCTTTACCATTCCCCCTTTAAAGTCGATCTATGTACCACACGCCTTGGCATTCAAGAGATCATACTCGTCAAAGGTAGTGTCTCCCTTCCCACTAGTTGGCCATTGTTCATTGCATGTCCCCCTGTACATTAACCCATTGAATCCATAGCTCCAACCACATGTGCACTAACATCAACACTGACTGTGCATGCCTGAGATGTTAGCAGACATGGGCAGCAAATTCTTTGTAGAGGATGTCTCCCAAAAATGCATTAAGCTCCGAAATGTCTGGTTGGAATGCATGCGTTTATCAGTGCACCACTGTACAGTGATGTGGACTGTCTGTGAGCTTCAGAAGAAAATTGGTTTTCAAGGCACTTAAATATGTTTGCATATTCTTCTTTTTTAATACTTCGAATGTGAGTTCAAATGAATCATCACTCTTCAATCAGCAGATTTCAAAATTGCTGAGTTGGCTCAAATCTTAGTGAAATTCTGTATCAAGCTAAAATCAAGGCAGAAGTTGCTGCTTTCTGAAATTCTTATTGTCTTATCTTTGCAGTCACAACAGTGTTACATGGGATAGAAAGGTCATGTGCTCTGTCTCCTTGCCTTCTAATTTGAGTACCATCATGGATTTGTGTTTTCAAAAAAGAGTAAAGTGTGAGCTTTTTGAAGCTTTAACAGTGGTGCTTGCCAATGACCTACCTGAGGGATTTTTAACTAAACTGTAATCCTATCTTAAACTCTGTTCACTGAGAACCATCAACAGGGGTAGACTGAGCAATGTGGCAGCACAATAACTAGATCAAGCAAATTTCAGGGTGGTCTGACATAACATTCTATTCTTGAAGTTGACTGTCCATGGAGGAGGTCTCTTTCCAGAAGTGGAAGGCACATGTTTACAGCAGCCCCTTGAATCTTACATCCATGTACATAAGAAAAGAGGCTTTTTCTTCACTCTAGTTTACTTACTGCAGTTGTCAAGTTTTTTTGACACTCTTAAAACTCTTTGAGAGAAAGCCTTTCTAGGCTATGCTGTACCCAAGTAGTGTATCTGGTAAGATCCTAAACCAGATTTCAGTATTGTTAGAAAAACATGTTCTTGAACTAGTTTCACTGACAGAAAAGAGGAAATAGCTTTTTATTTCTATAAACATAGCTTTTCCCCTTTTGGATAGCTTCTGTTGGTGCAATATTCTACATTAGTCTGTAGTAATTTCTTAGCTTACACTGCTGTAACTGTTCATGCAGACAAGCCTTTAGCCTCTTTTAAAATGAAATCAAGGGGACTCCTATCAAGATGAACCCTCTACATAGTACTCATTGATTTATCTAAATCCATTGGCTAAATTTATTGAGAAATTAAATTTACTGAGAATAAAAACTGGTTTGATCTTTTGGAGAGGTTTCATATAGCAGTGGAAGGCAGGGGTGGGATGTCATAGAAAATCACAGCTTTGCAGCTGGCTTAAATGCTTCTTCACTCCTGATTTGGTCCTGAAATTGTTGCTCACTGCATTGTGAACACCTTTGCCTACAGAAGCTTGACTTTTGACACAGCCATGGCAAAGACAGAACACCTCCCTTCTGAGATTTTTGGAAGAGGTCATCCCTGCCCTCATATCCCTGAGCATGTAAATGAGATCTGCTGTTGTTTTTCCTTCCTTCAGAGGGCCTACACAGAAGAGGAGCTGAACGCCAAGCTGACGCGGCGAGTGCAGAAAGCTGCCCGCAGACAAGCCAAGCAAGAGGAGCTAAAGAGGTTACACAGAGCTCAGGTAGCGTCTCACAAGGCTCTTGTCATGGCACACAGACAGCTCTGTGTGAGGGCACCCTGATCCTGACATTCCTGTGGGGGTATCAGAACAGATGTCTACATGACTGCTTCTCTTTCAAATTTCATGTCATGCCACAGAGAAGCAAAGGATGGCTGAAACCTGTCATGAGAGTTTTACAGTGAGAAAAATCATGCCCATAGCACCTTTCTAGCAACCATCATGCACTGAATGGAACAGTGATACTCACATAATGCCTGATGGAGCTGCACCTATCATTGCTTTGCTAGGTTATGCTGGTGGGTGATGTGTTATCAAATTAACCTTTAATTACCTGAGAGTCTGCTGGAAAACTGCTAACAGCATCTACAGGTGAGGAGATTTGTCAAAAACTCAAGGCAGGGGCTCAGCTGACTGAGTAGCATCACCTTTCAGTTCAGTGTTCAGGAAAATGATAGGAATTGTAGCAAATAAATGAATATCAAGGTGTTTGCAAATTTACAAGTTAAGATACCACAGGGTGGGGAGGATGCTGTCACCAGAATCTGTGATGCTTGCTGTTGAAGCAGTATTGAGTGCAGGGAGCCCCCAGTGTGAGGAATGATTGGTATCTGACTCTATTGATTCAGAAGGCTGAACAATTGCTTTATTAAAACTATACTATATTACATTAATACTATATTATAGCTATACTAAAAAATGCTAAAAATATACTAAAGAATACTAAAGAAAAACCTGTGACTGTCTCTAGACAGCCAGGACACAGCTTTGACCCAAGAGGCCAAGGAATCAAAATTATCCTTAGTACAATCTAATTGATAAATCACTTCAGGTAAATAATCTTCCTCACACATTCTACATGTGCAAAAATAACAGGAGCAGCAAGTAGAGATAAGAATTGTTTTCTCTTTCTCTGAGGTTCCTCGCTGCAATTCCCAGGAAATATCCTTGGGAAGTTGTGCCTGCCTGCTCTCCATGAAGAGAGCTGTGGCTACAAAGCAGGGTGTTGTTGAATACAAATACTTGTTTTTGAAAAGGCAAATCTGACTGAAATCTCTTAGTGCTGGCTGTGTGCTGCAGACAGAGCAGGAGAATTGCTTTGGTGAGGTTCTGCTCCATTCCTCTCTGAACAGATTATCCAGCGGCAGTTGGAGCAAGTGGAAGAGAAGCAGAGGCAGCTCGAGGAGAGAGGAGTTGCTGTGGAGAAGGCCCTTCGAGGAGAAGCAGGTATCCATCACAACTTGGTTTGGTTTTCCATGTTTTCTTACCAAGTGCTTGTGCAGTAATCTGTAGCTGTTTGGATTTTAGAGGCAATTGGACCTTTATAGCCTAGAGACTGATCCCAGTGTGAATCCCTTCTCCCTTTTCTGCTATCTTTTTGAGGCCTTGTTTTTCCTGTGTTTCATCTAATTCTGGGACTTCCCTTTTGGCAGAGACTTAGATCATTTACCTTTGCCTGAGTTAATTATCCAGCTACTACTAATGGCTGTTTCTGCATACTACTGGATACTACAGCTGGAAAATTGCAGGGGTTTCACAGCTGCCATTCACACAGAGTTGTCACAGTGAGACAACCCTGTTTGTATGTTAAGGAAATAATTGTGGAATGGTGTGTGCTTTCTCTACTGTGTTGGATTATCAAGGTAGTGTCCTTACAAGGGACCATCACAGAACATCTTCCTCACTGCACAGCCCAGCACACTGGCTACTTCTGACAAAGTTGTGCAGAGCAGAAATGCACATGTGTACTGAAAGGTATCCATGTCAAGCTGGTAAAACAAATGTTGTGTGTACTTGAAATTAAATTAAATGAGTATCATCTGATCTGGCAAGTATGTAAGTGGAGGAGTACCTGGTTCAGATAATGCTGATCATAGTATAATGATTTGGGAAAAAAATCCTCAATTTGCAAGGAGTCAAATATCCAACAGGCAAATGCAGTGTGTGTATACCTGACAAGGCCAGGATGATGTGCCTGATCACAAGGGTCAGAGTTCAGAAATGGCAACAGTGGAACAGATGTTTGGAAAATGTTTGCTTGTCACTTGAAGAGCCACATCTCTGCCTCTGAAGATGGAGCTTGATTAAGCAGTGAGGGTGCACCAGAGAAAAAGTCTGTGGCTTCCTGCCAGTTATTACTCAGCCAGCATTAGGTATGTCTGGTACTCATAAGGGTGTGCCAAAGAAGCTGGACTGAATGCTCAGCAAAGCAAATAGGTACTACAAGTGTGAAGAACAGTCTTGAGGACTTCAATATGTTTATGATCAGGATGTCTTTATTCATTTGTGGGATCAAAAAAATAGGCTTGTGCAAATGCCTGTCTTTGCAGGGCTGCCTCCTTCCTTATGCTGTGTCTTCCTGTCTAGCCCCACTCTGCTCTCTGGCCTGCCAGTTACTGGACTTACTAAAGCCACCTCCATTGTTTCCAGTGGTTCTTTTCATTTTGCTTCTTTTCATCTGGAAATCCAAATAATCTTGATTATTGAGCTGCTGAATGACTTTCATGTAAGACATGCCAGCACAAGTGGGAAATCTTAGCAGCTGAGAGAATATTATTCTTAATATTATATAGAGTTTTCTCACTGAAGAACCATAGAATGTCTAAAACACGTTCAGAGAGGACAGAATATGACCAAGTGTAAGAATTACAGTTTTATATGGGACACTGCAGAATTTGGATAAATAGCTTCTCACTCCCAGCTCTCCCAAATGGAAGTAGTCTTAGATGAGTTTATGTATTTGTTAATTTCCTAGAAGAACTGTGACATTGTGGGTCCTGCTTTGCAAAAGGGATCTCTTTTCTTCAGGAAGTCTCTAGGCTATGCTTTGCTCTTGCAAAATATTTCTATCAACAGGTCATATATTATGTTTGCAGAAGCTTAACTCTGACATAAAGATTTCACCAGAAAAGATTTCACCAGAAACACACCGTTGGGGTGGGAAAAGACAGCATGTTCTAATCTGTGATGACTAAAACACAAGATTATAAATAATTTCATGCTTCACCTCTCTAAGTCTTCCTGCATGGCCATAGAATCATTTAAGTTGGAAAATACTTCTAAGATCATGAGTCCAACAGTTAATCTAACAGTGCCAAGCCCACCATTAAACCACATCCCTAAAATGCCACATCTACACATCTTTTGATACTTCCAGGGTGAGGACTCCACCACTGCCTTGGGCAACCTGTTCCAGGGCTTGACAAACCTTTCCATGAAGAAATGTTTCCTAATATCCAATCTAAACCTCCCCTGGCACAACTTGAGGCCATTTCCTCTTGTTGTGTTACTTGGGAGAAGAGACCACCCCCCACCTGTCTACAGCCTCCTTTCAGGAAGTTGTAGAGAGCTGTAAGGTTTCCCCTCAGCTTCTTCTTTTCCAGACATTTTACATGTTTGCAATAAAAATAACTGAATTCCTTCTTTTTGAGATCTGTAGTATCACATTCCATGAAGTTAATTCCTGCCTGCAATATCCACTAATTATTCAAGAGGGAAGTATCATTTTTCTGTCATCTGCCTTGTGACCTAACAGTGACCACTACATTCAGCAAGGACTGCAGTGTAAAGGTGTGCAGTCATGCTCTTGTCTCTGATCAGTCCCTCCCCTAAGGAAACTATGAAAACAAAAGTTCCAAAGGGAAAGGCAGTGTGTAAAGTGGTGTTGCCATCTAAAAAAAAAAAAATCTCTTTACAAGTTTGTACAAGGAGAAAAAATGGGGGAGCTTGAGAGGTGTCTGCTGTGCACTTACTTTGTCCACATAAATAGAGAAGGACTGCAGTAGAGCATCAAAATAATGGCTCTTCCATAGGCAGCAGCCAGTATTAACTGTTCCAGAACAAAGTATGAGGCTCTGTAATGATGGGATTTTCAGGTTCCTTCCAGGCAGGGAAAGAAAAAAACACTTATTGATCAGCATTTAAATATGAAGTTTTGGGTAATGTTAATAGTAGTTTCTTACTACTTAGAAATCCAGACAGAAGAAAGAGAATTCTGTAACTTGCAATGATTCTTTTCTTCTTCTATTATAGAAGGCAAGACCATCTGAACTCCTTTATGTAGTTTATCATCTTCTAACATATTGCTTCTTAGTCATCTCTTCTGTCTGTGAAGAATTGCAAATTTTTCTTTTGTAGGGTCTTCCACAAACTTTAATTCCTCAAATCTCTCACATCTGGACCACTTTCCATTTTTAGAAAAAAGTATTTTTCAGTTCAAATGCTAAGAACAAAAACCAGTTCTGTAGATAAAAATGTATTTACTTAGAATAATTTTGTTTCTACTTTCTATCTATTTTGTGTCATCCTTATTATGTTATTGGCAAATAACTTATACTGAGAAGATTGTTAATCAATTTTTCACAGTGATGGCCTGCTGTTTTCCTGAGAGATTACAGCTTTTGATCTTAGCAATAGATACAGGCAGCTCAATATTCTTTTCAGGAATTTCACACATTATTTGCTATTTGTCAAGTTGGAATATTTAGAGGATCATACTTGCTCTTCAACTAATCAAACTCAGAAACATTTTGGAGGTCACCGTCAATCATGACAAAATAATTGTGCATTCTTGCTACCTTCTTGTCTTTTCTTTTTTAAAATTAGCTCAGCCTCAGGCATGGCACAGTTGCTCTTCTTCAGAAGCTGAATGCTCAATGTAGTGATTCAGAAAATCTCCCAACCTATGATTACTTTATTGCCTTAATGTGTTCTCTGTGATTATCTTTGATAATCTCAGCTTTGATAGCTGCATTCATAGCAGGAATGAATGATTAGGAGGGTAAGCTTTATTTCAAGAGGCAGTGTAAGCTCTGCTTCAGGGGGAGATTTGTCATACACAAATGGTCTGAGCTGCTGTCATCCCTTGTTTTCCTTCCCTCCCTGCCCTCCTCCTATTGCATCATGAATGAAGCATTTTCTCAGTTTTCTGTGGTGTCCCAAGGGACACCTTGAATGAGTTAATTAATGTAATACAGTATGACTAATGCAGCAGTACTTTGTATGATAGTGCATTCGCCTGTTTGGACATGCTAATGACTTGGATTTCCTCTGCGAATTTTTTTTTGTCAATCATTAACTTAAAAATATGTCAAATCAGAAATTTCCTGAACCTTTCTTTTATTCCCTCTAGCATAAACCTTGATAGTCATTTTTAAGAGGTTGGAAAACATCTCCTGTCAGATCAGTACTGAAAAGTTTAAGAGCCACCTCTTTACATCAAATGAATCATATGCAGTGAGAAATGTTGCTCTCAGTACTTCCATCTGTCTGCTCCCAGTGAAATGTTCCACAATGCTAGACTCGTGGTGCCCCTGTCTCTAGCAGCTGTGGAAATGCACATCTCTGTCCTGAGAACTGCTGTGCAGTTCTTCCCTGGCACAGAGACTGCATCAGCAGGAGCACACAATCCCATCTTCCCGAGTGTTTGCCATTCATGTCGGCGCTCAGTCAGTGCCTCACCTGTGTGCCACACACCATCCTCCACTCACTCACCTCCAAGAAATCAACCCTTACACCTTTCCTGCAGCTGTCCTAAGAAATTACAGTTTCCTTCTGACACATTGCTCAGCTCCAAAGCAACAGGATTAATTCTGCTTTTCTCAGCAAGAACAGGAGAGACATCAGTGACAGGTACTGCTGCAAACACAAATAGGTGAAGTGTCTCTGTGTAAACTTCTTGATTTTCCCCCTTGGAAGTCCTCGCCTGCCTCCTGGAAATTTTCTCTTCATCTTCCCAATATATATGTTTGTGATATATTTGTTTGTGTGTACATATTTGTATATATACGGAGAAAGAGAGACATATAGTATTTGTGTATATATATATGTGTGTGCCCACGTGTGTAGCTGCCTGTCTCTTGCTTTCCCTTTTTGTTTCTATGTCTTTCTCATATATTGCTTTGATTGTATGGGGCTAGGGTGGGTATCTGACTCAATAACTGTCTTCACCAATTCCTTGTTGTAGACTATTGGGGAGAGTCTTATTACAGTGACCTCATCGACTTGCATCTGGGTGGTATGTATGGCTGAACCTCCTGCTGGCACTAACCCTGCTGACACTCCTCCCCACCCTCCCTTCACCTACTTCTCCCATCCTTGGCTCACAAACAAGAAGAAACAGCCCTTGCACATGACTGATGATAGCAGAACCCCTTTTCCAGCTCAGGAACAGGAGATTCTGGCATGTTCCACAAAACATGTGTAAGGCTCCCTCTTCTATTTTTCACCATGCTGATTTTTTATAAATTTGCTTACTGTTTTCACTCCAGCCACCTTCCCTGCTAGCAGTGGAAGGTCGTTCTGTTTTTTTGCTTCTCCTTTGAAAAGTCCAGCTCTATCACTGAAGTTGTCTTTAGGAAAGTATTTTAAGGGGGACCGCAGAGCAAACAGCACTGTCAAGGATTAGTCATGCTGTTGCCTCTGTCTTGCCCTTCTGAGGCTTGTTTTTTCCTTCCAAAAAAGCCAGAGTGTGCTGCTGATCTAACAAAACGAAAATGTTCCCTCAAGGGACTTTGAAAACACTTGCAGATGGTACATATGTCTTCTTCCTTGTTTTGTCTTACTGTAAGGTTAAAAAAGAATTTGCTGTTGAGAGTTCCAGTCATTTTTTGCTGGAATCCAGATTGCATCGTTACACAACTATTAAACTTCTTGCTATGTTATTGCTTTAATACCCCATTTAGTGCTAAGCACACATTGCAGTGTTTAGTTCTCATTTTCACTTGGGAATCTGGTCATCACTCCATACCATGGTTCTGCCCTTGCTTTAATTAATGTTAACTTCCTGAGTTCCTTAGTAGGGAATTAACTTTTGGGTTGCAAATGACGTTTGATTAGCCTTTGCCATCTTGAAAATTAAAATTTCCTTGGCTAGTTTAACCACCCAAAATCTATTCTTATGAAGTGAACACGTCTGTCAGCAGATCCAATAGAAAGCAAACTCTGCTCAGTTGCCTTGTTATCTGAGGGTCTCATTTAGTTTGTCTTTCAAAGTAGAAAGCTGCTTGATCTAAGCTGAATTTTTTTGAGGGACTGCATCGCAGACCAGCTCTGCAGAGGGAAAGATCCACATGCTCTAGGCCTGATCCAGGACACATCCCTGGAAGTCTTCCCTGATTTTGTTGTGTTCTGTATTTGATCCTTGAAATACAATCTTGCCCAGGTTTTTGACAGCCATTTTTCTCCTGCACCAGGGAGGCTGTCCCACATAGTACCTACCTGTTGTGGCACAATAGACTTTTATTGAAGGACATCCACCTGAGTTCAGAATATCCACCCACGTGCAAGTTTCAGAGTGGAAGACTTTCCTCCTTAGTAGATCTAACTTGTTGCCCAGTTCCCTTGTGCTAATTTTGATGTGATAGTCCTCTGCTAGCCCTGTGCTTCATTCACTGTTCAGTCCCTCTGGAATTCTTTCCTGGGCTATCTCCTGCAGAGAGACTTTGAAATCCTCTTCCTGGTTTTACCCACCAGGGCTGGCCCATACTCATGATGTGCCCAGAGTAGGAGCTGTAAAAGGGTTGATGCTGAATCACATTTAACAGACCCTTCTCCCTATTTAATGCTGTCTCCACTACACCTCTCCCTCCTCCTGCCTCTGCTCCTAATGCCTCTTTAGAGACAGCGATCCCATCCAAATCACTAATAGTGGCTTTAAGAAAAGCAAAATAGTCTTCACTTAAAGGGACACTGTCACTTAAAAGAATTCATTATGCTGCAAAAAAAAAATCTTAATTGGAAATAGAATTTGCCATTTATCTCTTTGTGTGTTTGCTCTTCCGTTTCTCTGAGCTCAGCCATCTCAGAGTGGTCATTTTTGAACAGGATGCTTTTATTTATATGGTGACTCAGTCACTTGGGCTTCCAACAGTCAGAGGCAATATTCATGGTTATTTTAAAACCAGATGATACATCTTAAAACTCTGTCAAATTTCTGCTTGTCTCAAAAACACTGTTTTCAAAACAAATTTTAAAGAAACTATATTGGGCAGTATCCCTTTAAATGCAACGAGCCAGTATAGCCTGGAGTATGTGGCTTTGTAGCATTATTTTGTTGCCTCCGTGTAATTTGCTTTATATTTGCTTTTGGGGCTGCCAGAACACTTTTTCCAGAAGGGATACATTGCTCTGGTGATACTTGTCAGCTCAAGTAGCAGATACAGAGCTCAGCTTCAAGATTAACACGTCTGGGTAGAGAGTCATTAAAATCCCTGGAGGTTCTGCTGAGCCCTGCAGGCAGCTTGGATGCTGCTCAGTTAATTATTCTATCGGCAACCCATGTCTCTGAGGCATGGGCATGGCTCTAGCCAATAGAATATTAACAAAAATCTAGAATATTAACAAAAATGGCAAAGCACTTTGGAAAGTTATCTGTAAACTGGTAATATTAGTTTTTGCAGATTGCACAACAACTTCTGCAAGGGGAGTGGTAACTTCTGACATCCTGGTCAACTTCCAGTGTGTAGGGTTACAGATTGCTATCTTAACTAGTTCTGTTGCTCTGCTCAGATGTCATAATCCTCTCTTCCTGTTCTGAAATGTTTTGTACTGTTGCTGTAACGCAGATGTTTCATTTCATGCTACAGATGGTCACATTTCAATTCTGAGTAATTATTCCTGTGTGTATATTGTATGCGTGGTGTGGTTAAAAGAACATTACAAGGGTTGCAAAGTCAACTGAAATGAAGACTTTATATTATATTGATATATCAACAGAATTATAACTTTCAGATCCACCACAGAGAGCTGTATAATGTCCTTATGGAATAATTGGTAGCAACACTAGGTTGTCATCTTCTGGGTAGATCCTTATGGAGAGGAAATGGGAGACAATCAGTGGATTTTATAGATATCTGTTGGCAGCTGTGTAATAGTCTCAATAGAGACTTGAAAATATGGATTCTGAGCCAGACAGTGGAAGGATGCATTGGTCTGGTGGATATATACTCTTTGTCCTTTTGTTCCCTCTTTTGAGACAGTCCTTGTCCTGATCCTGTCTTATTTCATCCAGAGCTCCTTACCCCACTTCCATTTTTATTCTCAGGCATTTAATTTTAATCCTGCCTTCTTGACAAAGAAATCCTAGCATTCTACCCTTCAGCCATCCTATTTCTCTCCACTAGCTGCTCCTGGTCTCATCTTCCCACTGACACAGTCTCCACAGTCTAAATCCCAGCTTTTAGACTTCTTCCAAAATTTTGGGGCTCTGCTCCCTCTTCTGCCCAGCATTATTTGTTTGTAAATTTTAGGTCCTGCCTTCTTCTCAAATTTGCCTTATCCTTTCATCCCTTACCCTTTTTCCCCTCTCTTTTGTCTGTTCTCCATTAGTCACCTTGCCTCCTTAATCCCAGCCTTCATTCCTCCTAACCCAGTAGCTCCTTGTCTGCCTCTGGAAAGTACCTCAGTGGTTTCTTCAGTCTTCAAGTGAGCAGCTTCCTTTTCCTTGCACCCAGCAGGGAATCATTAAATAAACAGCCACACACTCCCATCATGCTTTTTTCTTGGCTGGAATATGCCAAGAAAGGCAAGAAGGATGTAGGGAAGAGAGCTGGGACGTTTGATAGAGTTGATTTCAGATACACACTCTCCCTTCTTGACAAGAGCCTTATGACACAGGTAAACAGGGTAAGGAAGTGCAATTATTTGGGGTTTTTAAAAATCTTTGTACTCTATTTAAAGTACACTCTGCAGCAACCTCACCTTTTTTTAAAACTTATTTAAAACCTTTGAGCTTACTATGTCCTTTAAAGTCTTGCAGGTCTAACTCTGCAAGGCTGGAGTCTGATAGATTCAAGTGGGATCAGTCCTATTTCTTGTGATTGGCAAACACAGCTATTCTGAAAGGGGAATGGAGTTGTATGATAAACATTGTTTTTGCAGTCTGCAGCCGTTTTTGACACTGAAGTGAATTGGTAACTTGTTTTCTTTGCTGTAAATTTTGAGCAGGAAAGAGCACTTGATAAGCACAACTTGTTAAGTACCAGTACTTGTTAGGCAATTGCCATTTACCTGGCGTTTCTCTGCACACAAAAACAACAGTCTTGGGAGACAGGGTCAGTGCAAGACTGTATTCATTCCGAGTGCATTCTGCAGTGCTTCAAGGTCTAGTAGAAGCAGAAGACTTCTCTGGAGTCATTTGTGTGTGTGTTCTGCTCCAACCACTGCTTTCCCCATTTTTTTTTTCCTTCCCTGCCTTTCCCCCACCCCCTTCTGCTGGATAAATAAAAGTGGTTCAGTTTGCATGGCAATCTGGTTCTCTGTGAGTTTTCCCCAGGTTTCTTCTAGTGATTGTACAGTACTGATATTGAGTTTGACCCAGATTTAATAAACTGTGATGTGCTTGTGGGACATTTGTCAAAATCCTTGCTCTCAGCCTGCAGTTCTGTGGATGCTGTTCTCCAAGAGTTGGTTTTCTGTATCCCTGGTTTTTAACAACGCTGCTGTTGAACAACTTCACCAAATAGTAAAGTTAGAATGCTTTTTTTTTTTTTCAGTACTTGGGTTTCTGATCACAACCTGATCACAAATAGTAAAGTTAGAATGCCTTTTTTTTTTTTTTCAGTACTTGTGTTTCTGATCATAACCTGATCTTCTTAAGGGTGGAAAAGAGGACATTCACTATGATCAGTGCCCTTTCACTTACTGATCTCCTTTGGACTGATCCATATGTTAAGCACTGATTTAAAATCAGAGCTTTCAGTATTCCTGATAAATAAAGGGATGACCTTTGTTAGCAGAATAAGTTCCCAAAGTGTCATGCTTGTAACTTGTGAGGGCAAGTGCCACAGAACTGAGATTGGCCCTGAGCTGGATTTCCTGTCCAGTGTTGTTGTTTTCCAAATCACTGTGATTAGCCAACAATATAGAATTCAAAGTCTTTGGATGCAAAGCTTGCAAATGATGTGATCCCACTTGGTTGGTGGTATATCTGTTCAAGTAAATTTAACTTGCAATGACTCACCACTTCTCGGAAATCAGCACAGTTCTCATATCAAAAAAACAGAGGCAAACAGTGAAGGGGATCAGTGTGAGCTGTAGCTTGGGGATAATGGGGTCTGCCTCCCCAAAATCTGTGCAGTGCTTTCTTCATCCTGATCAATCATTTTGGCTACTGGGCTTGTGATTGTGAAGAAGTGTTATGGAGCTGGAGAGGAAAAGGACAAAACCAGTCTGAAGATTTGCTTTTTAATCAACAGGTAAATAAAGATTAGAAAAGAATGCAACAGTCCAATGTAGCTTCTGTAACAAAGAACAATGTGCTGTGAAAATGAACATAGTGGCTGTACAATTTCTGGTCCTTGTTATGAAGAGACTCTGAAGCTATGGTATTTATTCTTCACCTGGCTCTTGGTTTCCACCACTGTAGCAAAGTCTGCAATCTCTCAAGAGTACTGTGACAAACAAGGTCATTCTTGTGGCTTTTTTACACAGAAGCAAAGTAATTCCAGTCACTTCATTGATGAGATGTGTCTGGTGTGCAAGGCAGAGCTTCTGCATCTTGAGAATGTTCAGAACTCCTTTCCTTAATAAGCTGCAGCTCCTGCCTCCAAACCATGCTCTGGCTTGCCTGCAGCTTGGACTGCTTTACAAGGCTTTACACAAAAGAAGAGTTGGCTCGTGGCACTGAAAGGCAGCAGCCAGTGACTAACACAGTCTGTTGGCAGCTTTACCCCTCTGGTGAAAAAAAAAGGTAATTTTCTATCCAGAGGCTACAGCCACAGCTGGCAGCACAAGAGGAACCTAGGAAGGGAAGGTCACAGAAATGGTTTTTCTCTTGCCTTTCAGCTCCTTCCAAAGAAACTGCTTCAGTGGGTGTTGCTGCTGCCAGGACTCTTCCCATGTTGTGGGTGAATACCTGTGTCAGTATATTTTCGGTGGTGAAGGAGACTTAAACAGAAAGGGAGGTTAGGTTTGTCGAGGTTTTTTTTAATTTGCACAACAAATGGGTTTTTCCCTATTTGGCCCTGGCTCCACATCCAGAAAAAAAATGTCTTGCAGTGATGATCTTATTTGTAATTTAATGAGACTGAGAGGTGGTGATTTCTCTTCTCTAAACAATGCAATAATATTAATAATAGTAATTACAATAATACTATTTACTGCAGGATTAGTAATGGCTTTTGGAGCAGTAAGCCATAAAATAAGCTTTAGAGAACTGTGGGAAGTACGTTTTCAGGTTGCACTTTGTTCTTGCTGTTAAGGACCCTCCAATACATAAGGAAGACTTTCTAAAGCCTTGCTAATCATCCTGCTTGGGACAGAAATTGTTTCTAAAGTAATTGCAATGATTACATTGGTGAATATAGGTTGTGATTAACTGTAATTTACATCTGGAGTAGCTGGAAAGGATCTTAATTGCAAAGGTTATGTTTATTATCTTACTGAAAAAACATGTTGACTTTTCTAGTAGTAGGACTAGTGTAGATACCATGGACTTTGTAACTTGATTCAAGGACAAATTTTCTTTGGACAAGAGTGGGAAGATAACTAAGAGCAGGGGAGGAAAGTGCAGTTGTGGGGAGTGAGCTCTGTATCAGTCAGGTGCTGTGTGATCCCTGGGGCTCTTTTTGCTGGAGACCAAAGATGGGATCCTCTCCTAGTATCAGACCACTTGCTTACTGATGACAAAAGCTAGCAGTGTGTGGCCATTTCACAATGAGATGAATGACATTTTCACATACTGGGTATTTATTTTCAGCTCAAATATGGAAAACTGGAAGTTCCTCACCAAGTTGCTATGTGCATGGCTTGAAATGTATCAAATTCCCCCAGCCCCAGGTTCTGAATGAAATCTCAAACCCTGAAAGAAGTGGATTTTTTCCATACAGTTAAATCTCCATCTCCCTGGCCACCCTCAAAACAGTGGTTAGACCAAGTTAAGAGTATTAAAGCTTTTAGCTTAAAGAATTACTTCTGAATAAGATAGGATGGGAAATAAATATTTAACAAGTATCATACACTAAATGCTCTGCTTTGTGTGGAAGCATATTCTTCATCATACCTTTGTGGTTTGGGGTTTTTCTTGTTTGTTTTTGCTTTTGTAACCTGATCTGTGAAATGGCAGTTGTAGGAAAAGAAGCCTTAGTATTTTTCTATTTTAAATGAAGCTGTAAAATTCAGAACAGCTGTAATTAATGTTCTGGCACTTTCTCAATGTTGTTGGTAGAGTGCTTTATTTGTAACTGTCCTATGGCCAGCTGTGGCACCTCTCCTGATGTTGCCCCTTCCTGCTTCCAGTGCAGAGGTTTCTTCTTCTGAGAAAGCTGTGCTGCTCAGTCACAGGCTTTGCAGCTGATGTGCTCTCCCTCCTGCTCCAGTGTGTCATCCATGTGCTGGTCTAGTTCTGTGATGGTCCCTTCTAAAGCCTTCCCAGTCCACTGGTACTCTAATTTTGTGGAGCTTTCTGTGAGCCACAAACATCAAACTCTGCTGACTTCTCCAAAATGAATGTTATTCTTACCATACTGTTGTTGTGGAGTTTATACCTTTTCCCAACACAGAAATGCCTCCTCTTTGTAAATGCAGGTGTGCCCTGAGTCCAGTAAGTGTTCCATTCTGGTAGCTCTGACTTCTCAGAGTTCATCATCTTCCTGGTGCATGTTCTCCTGTAACTATTAGTGATATTGGTTCCTGCCTATTGTTTATCTCTGTAATGTTAAGTACCACTGAAAAGCAAATTTTTTGGTGTTAAAAAAGCTGAACCTTTTGAGAGATGAGAAATGCTTGTCCTTCACTGGCTGATGGAAAAGATGATAAAGATTCAGTAAGTCACTGATACTAACAGGACTTGTAAGCTTTAAATTGCTTTGTGGAATGAGAATGCCAAGGGAGAGCTTTAAATTTACTGGTTTAACTCTGCAGAGTCCTCAGTTGGTCACTGCTCCCCAGACCCTGATGTGAATCACTTTATCTGTGTAAAAGCCTTTTCCCCCCTAAGCACAGCAATCCAGTGGGGTACCTGTGTACTCACCATACCTGACACAGCAGATACTGGCAGGCTGGTTCCATGGTAATCAGATTCTCCCTGTGATGTTCCCTGTCTGAAGACATTCTATTCCATTACAAAGGACACTTTTACCATCAGTGGATGCTGCCATGGTGATAAGAGCATGGTCCTGATAGAGCTTAAGGTAGGGTGGCTGCTTACAGCTGGTGTCTTCTGCATGCAGGTGAGACTTACTGTAACCCTGCTTGAAATCTGACATTTATCAGCAGAAGTTAAATATATGTCTCTACTCGTCCTGACATCTGAGTCACAAAGCTTTTGGTTAAAGACCTTGCACCTGGAAATGTGCATTAGGAAAAGTGCAGCAACAGTAACCTCCTGCCTGGTATTTGTACAGCTCACTAAGAGTTCACCAGTACCTCAGTCTACCTCTTACCTGTTGTCTGTGCTTACTAGGGACATTATTCATCTGTAGACTGTATCCCTTGTTTCTGCTTCTCCATTTCTTGTATTTTTTCTTTTCTTTTTCTTCTTGTGTTTCCTTTCTTTCTCACTCTTATGCTTTTTGTCCTTTGCTTGTCTTTTATTTCACCCCTTTCCTCCTCTTCCTTTCCACTTCCAACTTCCTCTTCCTCTCCTGCCTCTTCCTCTTCCTCGTTTGGTCCTATTGAAGTTGAGCCCAATGGCGGGACACCACGTCGTAGACCTCTCTCCTTCTGCCCTTGCTGTGCCCATGAAGGTAACGTAACCTCACACACCCCTGTCCTCCCTGCCCACAGCTGGGTTGTCATAGCAGCACTAGTCAGCTAGCGACCACAAGGCCCCCCAGCCCTTTTCTTGCTGTGTCCCCAAACCAGCCTTGTCTGTAGCTACCTGGTAACCAGCTTCTCTGAGCCTGTGGCAAGCTGTTAAAGGTACAGTATCCCTTTTGCTAGTCCCAGCTGGGCAAGAGAAGGTGCAGTGACTGGGAGGGACAATGGGCAGCAGCTGTGGGACCACAAGTGTCACACTCAAAAGTTTCTATTTTCATTTGGTGCCTTCAATTACTCTATTACTCCTGAAGGATGTTTGGAAGGTGGGGTAAGGGATGACAATCTGTTTCCTTAAATTCAGCGTTTTAATTAGCATATAGGGATTAAAGGAATACTGTGTCTTTATAAGGACTGATTGAAAAACATCCATGAACTTTAAAAACCAACAGACCTTAAGTTAGACTAGTTCTCCCTCATCTGTCTTGCCGAGTGCATTCTTTAACCATCCCAAATGGAGTTTGCTGTAGAGTTTCCATTGCCAAGGCATGGGGAAGGGGTTGTTTTATGTGTGTTCATGGTGTAATTTTGCTAACCACTTATCTGCTTTCCATAGTGCTCCCTCACATCAGTTGTCAGTGCTCCCTTTCCAGTCCTCCCATTATTCCTCTACTCATTGGCTGTTTAAAAATACTTACGTATTTCATAGGTCAGTAGCATTGTGGTTTTGGCTTTTTCTTAGAGGCATTTGTTTTCTATACATCCTGGCATTGGAAAGGAAGGGGAGACTTCCCAGTGTTTTCATGGCGCCACAGCACTGGACATCTGCATGTACGGTCTCCCTCTCCTGTCGCCACGTGGGCATACTGTGCAGAGATGCTCAGAAAGGAATGCTTGGAACTGAGCAACACACTGCTATAAAATCCTTGGAGCCAGGGGCTCTTAGGGTGGTAAATCCAGCCTGGTATTCCCTGAGGGGCTGGAATGACACATTTCCAAAGGCAGGTGAAAGGCAGCCCAAGCTGCAGCTGACTAGGAGTTGTAGGCTCTCCCTTGTGTAACTGCAGGACAGCGCTTCTCTGACATACTGAGGATGAGGCAGGGCATGGGTCTGAATTAAGTAGCCATTAATGTGGTATTTGTGCTGTGTCTGTGTCGTAGAGTTTGAATAGTAAGCTTGCTGCTTGATCAATTTAGCATCAGATGGACTGTTTGAGAGCTTTTGTTCTTGATGTAGAGAGTACATACCCACAATAACAAGCAGAGACAGGGATGTTGGTTACCTTGGGATGCCTAGGTCATGTGCAGTGCAAGCTGATGGGATGCAGCAATCCAAAAGTGCTGTTGAGCTCAATTTGAGGCCTTGCTCCTGCTTCTAGTGCCACACAGGCAGGAATGTTGCCAGTGGCCTTGACGGGGTCTGATGTAAATCACAGCATTCAGATGCAGGTGGTTCAGTGTGGAATAAGTGGCCCAGACCAAGAGCTTGCCAGGAGGAGCCTCCTTGGTAAGTTCTTGTGTTTGCTAAATATCAACAGAAGGCTTTGGGAACAGCATTCTGCATTTATTCCACATGACACCTGACAGACACAAGACTCATCAGTGGACTATTGAATTAGTTTAGGAGTTTGTTTTAAAATAAAAGGACCAGCAAAGAGTTCTGTACTAGGTGGTCAAGGCCCAAGGTTTCTTTATTCTTCTTTCATATTAGCAAATGTGTCTGGGGATTCCTCTTCTTTCTAGTGCTGGTATGCAGTACAGCAGAATTAGTTTCTGTGTTCACTGTGCAGGGGGATCTTCAAGATGAATAGATATGTGTGGCTAGGAGGAGCAGGCAGAAAAGATTTACTTAACTGTTGAAAAAAGAGACAAGATGTTACTTTTGGCTAGTAAAAGAAAAACTTGAGGACATGCAATTGAAGAAAACAAAGGTAAAACACATGGAGTGGCAATTGAATCTTTTCTGATTAGCATATGTTTGAGTAGCTGGCATGAGAATCTATAAAATTCTTCTAATGAAAGGAAAAGTTAAATACTCATAGACACTGGGGCTTTCTGCAGTAAGAGTGAGGAAGAAACAAGTAATCACAAGAATATCAGAAACAAAAAATGAAGTAGGCTCCAAAGAGAAGAGAATCCTTTTGGAGGTGACTTCCACTCAGCTGAGTGCTGTAGGCAAACTGAACGGACCCGGCTTGGGAGTGCTCTGGCAGCATCTTGCTCGGCTTTCTTTGCACATTTTGCCCCATTGTTGTTTTTGCAGTTTGGGCTTGTAAGGATTGCAGGGCGTTACCTGAAAATTTACCAGGTTTCTTTCTTGGCAGGCATGGGTAAGAAGGATGACCCCAAGCTGATGCAGGAGTGGTTCAAGCTGGTGCAGGAGAAGAATGCCTTGGTTCGCTACGAGTCTGAACTGATGATATTGTGAGTGAATGTGGAAAAAAATGGGGATTTTGTCATAAATAGCAGTGGAAGATCTCTCAGTATCGACTTCCCTGTAAGGCCAGGAGGTCAGCAGCCTCTTAGTCTGAGATGGGAATCCCAAGTATATTGCTCCAAGTACATTTTAGAGGAGTGGTAGAAGAAAGAATAATATGGGTAAGGGATGAAAGTTCCAATTATTTGTGCACATGCAGAAGTACAGGTATGTGAGCCCTTCTCATGCTGTTCTGTATAAAACACATCCTGCTTGTGCAAGTGTTTTCAAGCTATGCAGAAATAACATGGAACTCCTTCTGGTTGTGGTAAAGCTGTCTTTTAAGCATAACCAAAAGCATTTAATTCAATCACCTTTGCCATGTGGTCCTCCTTTCTGCCTGTAGTGGGACCCCAGTGCCTCTCATGTGAGCTCAGATGGTAAAGGTGTTTTACTGTTAATGAAACTGGGGGGTTTTTCGCTTCCCCCTGGTCCTGTTCCCCCCAAATTCTGTTTCAGTGAATTTCTGTGCAAATTCACTGAAATTAATTTCTGAGTGTGTCAGCTCACCTCAGCAATGTGGAAGCTGATAGCCTTAGTGGCAGAAAAGTCCCAAGGTGGTGTTTGCAATGACCTGATAATGTCCTTAAGTAATAAGTAATTTGTTAATAAGTAACTTTGGTTTTAGAGTGGGAAGTAGCAGGGGATACATAGAGGCATTGCAGATTTATTTGCTCTTTGACTCTGCTCTATATTTAGTTTGCTCCACTTTTGGCATTGCACTTCCTAGCTGAAGACAAAGAACTTGAAATGTTAAAAGTGCAATTAAATCTTTTAAAAATACAGTTCTATATCTTAAGTTATTGAAGAGTTGTTCCAAACAAGATTGGTAAAATGCACAGCAGATATCTAGAGAGGGAGCAGAAACTGAAAATGAATATGAAGCAACGTGTGCAGTATTTTATTACATCTGGAACTTGGATTTCTGCTTTTTTCCTTTTAGTGCTCGGGAGCTAGAACTGGAAGACAGGCAGAGTCGACTGCAGCAAGAACTCCGTGAGAGGATGGCAGTAGAAGGTGAGAGCAAAAGGGAATATTTCATGGATTGTATGTGTGTATTTCTAGCCTTGTGTATGCTGATAGCTCTTGATATTCTGTAGATCATCTGAAGACAGATGAGGAGCTCTCGGAGGAGAAGAGGATTCTGAATGAAATGCTTGAAGTAGTGGAGCAGAGAGATTCCCTTGTGGCTCTCCTTGAGGAGCAACGGCTTCGAGAAAAAGAAGAAGACAAGGACCTGGAGGCAGTCATGCTTTCCAAAGGCTTCAGCTTGAACTGGTCCTGAGCTTAACACATTTACCTCTGCTGGTCTGCGTTGTCCAGTTGGCCTACTCTGAGTTTGCCAGAATTACATGGATAGGAAGATGTTGAAGGGGAAACCTCTGAAGGGTCCAACAGCATGCAGGGATTTGGTTTGAAGCACTCAGAAGCCTTTTGATAAGTGTGTTGATTCCAGAAGCTTAAGTTTTACATGTCTGCAAGCCAAGTTGAAGAAATGAGTTGAGACTGTGGAGTCTCCTTGAGGTCCTGTACGATGGACCATATTTTGTGTGTGGTAGGAGGGAGGGGGGAGTAATCCATGTGTGGGGAAGGAGGTTAAGGGAAGAAGTACCCTTAACTACATTGGATTTAAGGCAGTCCATTCCTTTCCCATTTTTACTACACCAGTTCTAATAAAAGGGAGGGAAGTGGCAACCTTTCCTGAAAAACCACAGCAGCCTGTAGCAGTGGAGTCAGCTGTCCAAGAGAGCTCCAGAAGCCCAGGGCAAGACCTTCTTTGCTTTAGTCTTCCTTCCCACCAAAGAAACCTGCAGTTGGTCCTCATGCATGGATATGAAGAAACACAAGACAGAGGAGATACTGCTATGTGTGATGGAACTCTCTGCCTCTTGGTTTTTGGAGAGAAGTGGGCATCAGTGGACTCTTTCCCTACCTTAGCCTCCTAAATCTTCTTGTGGGGAACAAGGGGAGCAGAAGAGAGAGGGAAGATGCCCATCTGCTTTGCTACACACTGGAGAGGCAGCTACTGCTGGCCTTAGTCTTCATGGCCACAGCTCAGAGGCTGGTGGGCTTCCTTGTTCTGTTTTTATTGTGACTGTTTTGACACTGGAAAATACTGCTGTGGGACAGTGGTAAGTGTGTGCTGGGGCAGGGGTGTTCCCAGGCAGCATTCCCTGGTTATTAGGCCCCCTAAAAGGGAGAAGCCCTTAAGTGACCGAACCACCATTAAGACTTTTCAGTGTTTTTATTTTTATTTTTTTCCTCTGTATTTTGTTTTTGCACATTGGAAACAAAGCTTAAGACCTGCCTGGGCCCTCAGTCACTTTGACCCTTTTATGTCAATTAACTTATTTTTTTAATACTTGAAAGAAGATTCATTTTTGTATCTTTTAGGAAAAAAATGGACGAGTGATGGGTGTGTGTGCCTGCTGCATCCTACAACTTCCACTTCAAAATTACTGGACGTTGTTACCTGTGGCTATTTATTAGTGTTCTTAATAATAATTTGATTGTTACACATATGTGATTGTGGAGGGAGTGTTTTAACTCTGTTAGAGAAAGACACTACTGCGGATTGGTCCCTGCTTCACAGCAAGGGCAGCCTTTATGTACCCATGGATGCATCCTGCCCTAGGAGTTTTCCTCTATGAAAAAAATCCTGTGCACTCATGGAGTTTAAGAATCTATTTGTGTTCTTAGCATCCTTTTCTTCCACATCCCACATTCTCTCTTTTGGTCTAACAAACCTATATTTATTTACATTTTACATTTTTATAAGAAGAAAGCCAAAACTGTGAGGTAGAAATATCCCATATGTCTCTTCCTCACTGAAAGAGGGGATCCTCACAGTCCTGATACAGTTTGAGGGATTTTCTTGAAAACAAAATCAGCACATTTCCTGCTACATCTATTGGAAGAAGCTCCTTTTGGCCCAGTTAGTGAATCTGCTGCTTTTCAGCCAGGAGGGCCCTGACCGTAACCACACGATAATTGATGAGCAGGATGTGCACTGAGCAGCTCAGCCCCGCTCCCTGTGGGACAGACTCCCTGGGCAAACGTGTCCTTAACCTATCCTGCAGAGCTGAAACAGCACCCTGCGCTGGGGATGTGTCCCATCCTTCACAGGATGTGTCCACAGGGTTTCCCTCCTTGGGATGCTGACTATGTTCTTTTCCTGTTCAAGAAGTACCAAGGCTGCTTTCTGAAGTCTCTGAGAACGTGTCCCTTTTCCCAAGCACATTTGTACAGCCTGCTGACTCTTCCAGCTGGAATTGACACTGCCGGTGCGAGGCACCCCAGCAGGGCTGAACATCCTTCAGTCTTTTGCCCTGGCACAGAAGTTTGCATGATTTCTTGCTGTTGGCTCTCTACCTCCTTCAGAGGGCTCTCCTGTAAGCCAAGGTCTATGATTTGAATTCACCTCTGACTTGGGAGAACGCCCAGGCTGAGGGAGAACGGGTAGGAGTGTCCATGGGGACTCTGAGCAGTGCTGGTTGCTAACTGTGGAAACCCGTGTTTTCCACCCAAAGTGTTCTCCCTTTATTCCACCTAAGGCATTACAAATTGAATCCAGATACTCGTGAAACCAAGCAGACAGACAGGCAGCTGCAGTGCTAGTTAATAACTGTGTTTAGCAAGTGGCACCTGCCATTTCAGCATTCCAGAGTGTTGGCTTTACCAGCAGGATGTCTAACAAAGAGAATTCCCTCCTGTTTGCTGGTGCAGGGCTGCTGCCCGAGTCAAACTGGCAATGGCAGTTTACACAGTCTGCATTTGAGGGGCCACTGGAAGCTGGAGTGCAGGAAGAGGGAAGAAAGGTAGAAAGTTTACTGTAAATTGTCTTGTGCAGAGAATTGACCTCAGTCCATTTTATAGTGCACTGGGTATATGGACCACATCTAACTTGTAACAAAAGGTCATTGAATGTGAGCTGTAGAACAGAAAAGAGTCCTGAAGGAGAAACACCAGATGGTTTCTTTTCCCTTTCATGCTGAGGGACATTGGCCGGATCTTTGCAATGCTGAAGAGTGAGATCACTTCAGGGTGTAATACCTTATTGCACAGAAAACCCACATATTCTAACCCTAAACTCTTTGGGTTGTGCTGAAGGCCTCCAGCAGCGGGAATGAAAACAAAGAGCTGACATCGCACACACAAATTGATCAAAAATACACAAAAGGGAATGTTAAAAGGCCTTTTTATATCAAAATGGTTGGAAAAGGCACAACTTGTTATTTGCTGTTCAGTTGCACTTTAAGAATATGACTTGCATATCAGATAGTGGGTTTTTTTACTCTGAATATTTTTAATTCAAATTTTGTATTTTTAAAGCTGAAGAAGGTTCTTGTGAGCACAAGATTCCTTATTTGTATCCGAATCCGAGCAGGATGTTCTAGCTCTTTGCGCTGCCCGCAGCGTGCACCCAGCCACGTGCATTCAATGACGTGTGTCCATTTCATTGTGAGGAGAGCCAAGGGACCTCAGCCCCCGAGACCTGGGCACACAAGGGTGGCTGTCCCCTGGTGACACGGTCCTGACCTGGGGCTGTGTCCATGTGTGAGGAGAGCCAAGGGACCCTCAGCTCCTGAGACCTGGGCACACAAGGGTGGCTGTCCCCTGGTGACACGGTCCTGACCTGGGGCTGTGTCCATGTGTGAGGAGAGCCAAGGGACCCTCAGCTCCTGAGACCTGGGCACACAAGGGTGGCTGTCCGCTGGTGACACGGTCCTGACCCGGGGCTGTGTCCATTTCACCTGTGAGGAGAGCCAAGGGGCCCTCAGCCCCCGAGACCTGGGCACACAAGGGAGGCTGTCCCCTGGTGACACGGTCCTGACCCGGGGCTGGCCACTTCGTCCTGGCAGCAGGTGCGAAGAGAGGCGAGCTGGAGCCCGAGCCTTGTTGGCTCTGAAATGGGCACACTGAGGATAGGGCAAGCCCTTCAGCCCCCTACAGGGAAGGGAGGGGAGCACCAGCTCCTGGAAGGAAAAGCCCAGGAGGTAAATGGAGATGGGGGAGTGAGGACTGCCAGAATTAATCTGCTGTTTTCACAGTACCAATTTTTTTTTAAACTGTTCTGTTCCTTTTAACCATATCTCATTAAAAGTCACAACTGGCTGTAAAATTCCAAGCTTCAGAGAACTAATGTGTGGGGAAGTGACAAGACATTTCAGCTCCAACTTTCAGACATATTCTTTCTTTCAGTTAACCAGTATCCCCTGGTCTCACTAGGGCATGTTATAAACTGCATTGCTGAACATATTTTAGAGCAAACCGCAAGTTTTAAAAGTCTGTCCTTCTCTCTCTGTCTCTGCATTTTCTGTAAATATTTGTTTGTATGTAAAGGCACCAGTGGATCCTTGGGCTACCCCCATGGTCAAGAATCTGAGTTTTGTGCAATGCCTAGGCCTCTGTTAGAACACGGTGCTTGCGTAGAGCTAGTCACCACATTTGTGTGCACTCTGGTGGGTTTTAATATTTTTATACATCCTAATCCTGAACGTGATGAAGTATTCTAAGTGGTCTAGACAGCATGATCTAGAGCAGCCGGCAGTTCCCTTTTGTGAGCAGCTGCACCTTGTTTGGTTAACATTCTTCTAAGATGAGTTTTCCATTAAGTGTTTACACCACACACCAGTGGATTGAGAGAGGTGTTGCGTTGTAAAATCTCCCGTGTGCAAACTGAAAAGCTGCAGTGGGAATTTCAGTTGTCACTGTCTGCAAGGAAGAGAGCTCTAAAGCATACTAAAAACCAGCCTGTATATAGTTGACAGAGAAAGAGATGGCTGGCTGTTGACCTTTGCAAAGTAACAGAGATGGGAAGCTTTCCAAAAGTTCCTGCTTTTGGATTGTCCAAGCCTGCTACCCTGCCTGTACGTGCCTGCTTGGCAGGGTGGCAGGCAGAGGAGGATGTCGCTGAAAGCAGGTGTGAAGGGGAGGATGCCGCGCTCTGATGGCATTGCAGTAATTTAAATACTCTGTATCTGTGGGTGCATGCGTGTGTGTGTGAAGTCTAATCCAGGCAAAAGGAGTTGCTTTGGCATCTGCCCTTTTGTGTGAACATGAACTCTGATATTCAGATTGTTCAAGGCTTTTACGGTTGGCATGTATGGAGCGTTAACAGAAAAGTGAATACCCTACCTGTACAAAACCAACTCTGTTCCAGCCTGTTTTCTTCTATTTGGTTGTGTTTTATCGTTTGTTTTTATGCACACTTGCTTCATTGGTGTTGAGATTTTAGCACCTCAGATGGCCAACTGAACTAAAAAAAAAAATAAAGTCATTAATTATTTTTTCTTTTTTGCTGGTGGCGCTATCATTTCTTTGCTCTGATGTCAGTTCCTTGGTTGATGATTGATGAGGACCTGAGAGGAGGTGATCTAGAGATGAATCTGGGTGTTAAAGTGCCTGGCTTCAATTACTCTTTTGCTGACTCACTCTCAGCTACTCTGAATTATGCAAAGAAATCAACAAACACCCCCAGTATCTGCATATTCTACAATGTTTCTTCACATTCTCCATGAAGTTACTATAAATAGTCAAGAAGGGATGAAGATAATATAAATTGGGCTGCAGAAACTAGGATTTCATTTTTGTAGCTGAAGCTCTCTTCCTCAGGCTGCAGTACGAGCCTGAACATCCAATGCTGGTGTAGCAGCACTGAATAAAATATGGGGAGAATGACATTAATGTCTCTGGTTTTTTTGTTTTTTTTTTTAAGAAGCAGAAGTTTTACAAAGGATGATAGGGGAAATCCCAGCCGGGGAATTCCCAAACAATGTGTTTTATGTGATTTATTTTCTTGCCCACTCAACCATTTCCAAAAACAAAGGATAAACTCTGGTGTTCCTATGGTGGCGTGATGAAAGGAAACCTATTGCTGCAGCAGGAGAGAGGACACGCCTTGGATTTCCCCTTGCCTGGAGGCCGGGTGAGCAGACTGTGCTGCAGGTGGCAGGAGTGACAGTTCTCTCGCTGCCTCATTTGTGCAGCTCAGCAGGGCAGCAGCTCCTTGAGTATGTCTCAAACCTTACAAGTCTTCCTGGTCTTTTGGTCCCTTCTCCCCCATCATAGTGGGAATAAAAATAGTAGTAGGAGAAAGCGGTGTTTTCCCAGGGATGGGGTTTTTTTTTCTGCTGTCAAAAGACCAGTCCATGAGGATTTCTCACTTGATGCCAGAAGAAAAATGGAATGTCTGGAAAGTGACTGCTGGATGGACTGGGACACAGGAGGTTGGCTCGCATCCATAGTCTTCCAGCATGGCTTTTTAAAGTTACATTGCAAATTTGTTAGTCCTCAATCCCGATTAGGAACAAAGACGTTCTGCTGTTTTAGCAACTGTGGATGGAACAAGGGGCCTAGGAAGAGCTGTATCTGTTGCTAGCTCGGGCAAAACCTATGCTGGCCCTTGGAGTGCTCCTGCACAGATTAGCTGCACAATTGCACCAGTTTCAGACTCTCTAACAAGTAAACCCCATCCAGGTGGCAGCTGCTGCTTTCCTTTCCCCTCGATAATGAAAGCAGCCTTCAGAAGCCTCCGAGCCTTTCCACAGGTGGCATTCCATGCCCAGGAAGCTGCGTGTTCGCCTTGGCACAGAACCACAGCCCCTTCCGCGCAGAGGTGAGGAGCAGCACGGGAGTTACCGGGGTGGGAGGAATGTTCCCTCGGCTCAGGGGGTTCATTAACAAGTGTGCAGAGCCTCTTTCTGGCAGCTGCAGATATATTTTATCTTACACAGCCCTCCTGGCTGCACTCGGCCTGGCTAAAGACAATGAATGTAACTTGTCAGGAGGAATAACTAAGGGAAAGTCATGCCTCCAACCCCCTGCCATTCTGGCTTCCCTCATGTTATGTTTTTTTTGTTTTAAAAGTCCTCACCATCAGTGCTGTGGCAGCAATTAAAAATTGCTGTCTACATCAGCCACTGCATTTTTAAGTCACACATATTGGAGAGTGCAAACCTGATCCTGTAAGGATTCCACCTGGCCACACATCTCTTAAGAATTCCAGCAGGTCCTGAGTGTATCTTCCTGCTTTAAATCCTAAGCATCAGAAAAATGACCCTGTAGTGGGTGAAAGCAAAAGTGCTGGCATGTGGCTGCATGTCCTCCTGGAGCCACAGGGAAGAAGGGGCCTCATGCTTCAATATTTTATAAATATTACTTGAGGGATATAATGAAGAGTTGCCTCCTTCCTTAGCCTGCATCTTTTTACAAGCACTCAAAATAAGGAACAAAAAAAAAACCCTGCTCCAGAAAGCAGTTCTGGAAAAAGTGCTATTTTGTCTTGGCACCTTGGGAACAGTGTGAATGCCTGTGGATATCAGGAAAGTGGATAAACTAGTATTTCCTAACCCGCTGAGTGCATGGTGCTTTTCTGCATGTCTGCGGTGCAGAAATCACATGGCTTTCTGTAAGCAAGAGATAACATCTCTTTTTGTTGTTCACATGTTCTATATAAATATATAATCCATATTAGTCAGATACCAGAAATAAGAGGATATAAAAACCCTCACAGTGGTTTCTCAAAAAAACAAACACACTTTGGGCAGAAGGGAGAGAGGGGGACAGCGCTGCTTGGGGCAGTGCTGACTTTGCAGGACAAAGCTAAACAATTTGAGGAAACAGAAACTTCTCTTCAGTTCCTTGAAATTTACATCTTTGCGTGACTTTTTTTTACCCAGCGCCATTCCCAGCGGGAAGCCAAAATGACTCAAACCTGAATCAGAATTGGCTCAGTCTGTTTTGTAGAATCGCAGATTAAAAAGCTTTAAAAAGCACCATAAGGTCAGGAACCCTCGGCACACCCTGTGGGGTCATCCGAAGCCTGAACGTAGCACTGGAACCGTGACTGGGCATGTTAGGAAGGAAAGTGTGTCAGGAAGGACACCTGTACTGAACACCAGCTGAGCATTGTTCTGAACAGAGCCGTGTTGAAGTGTAAAGCTGTATTAAGTAGTAATTTGTTGAAGTAGGACTGTATTACTAGACGTGAAAGGAGGCTGTAGCAAGGTGAGGCCTGGCCTCTTCTCCCAGGCAGCAAGTGACAGGATGAGAGCACAAAGTTCTAAACCGCACCAGGGGAGGTTTGGGTTGGACATCGGGAATAATTTCTTCACAGAAAGGTGATTAGATGGAAATGGGCTGCCCAGGGAGGTGGTGGACTCGCTGTCCCTGGAGGTGTTTAAGGAAGACTGGATGTGGCACTGAGTGCCATGGTCTGGTTGGCAAGGTGGTGCTTGGCCACAGGTTGGAGCCGACGGTCTCAGAGGTCTTTTCCAACCTAACCGGTTCTGTGGTTCCGTGATTTTTAAGCCCATAAAACTGCATTTATATGGCGGGGAGAGAAGCGGCTGTAGATGCGGCAGCCTTTGGCCCAGCAGCAGCAGGTCCCGTGAGGGATCCCGACGGAGGACCGCGCTGCGGGCCATTCCCGGCCCTCACGCCC